GTAAATGAAACGTCTTTGCGAAATATTTATTAAAAAAAAAAAATGTCCGGGGGGAAGACTGGGCTCCTTTTTTTTTTTTTTTTGTTGCGTCTCTCTCTCTCTTTCTCTCTCTCGATCTTCGATTTTGACCTTCGACTTTGACTCTACTCTAACTGATGATGCTTTTTATTATCTATCTTTTTTTTTTTTTTCTTAAAAAAAAAGTCATATTGCACTAGATGTCGCAGAGGAATCAAAGCTCTTCTTTTGGATGGTCACCAATAAAAGCACACAGAATAGCTCTAAACTTGTAAGTAAAAAAAAAAGAAAAAAAAGATGCTCAGGAACGGGGTATATTGGAATGATTAGTCTTTAGCAAGCGACTATAAAAGTAAATTTAGTTTCAGTATTGCTAAATTTCGCGTTTTACATGTTTCTTATCGTTATTTCCTGTTCTATTCTTTTGATCTTTTGATATTTTAGATCTTCTGGCTCAATGGAGGTAGAGAAAAAAAAAAAAAAAAGGAAAAAAAAAAAGAGGAATGTAGCGAGTGCAAGTATTGAAAGGTCGATTGTTAACTTTTTTTTTTTTTTTTTTTTTTGCCTCTTAACCTCATAATCAAACTTTTGGTTACAACATCTTAACAGGACCAGGATGGTAAAAATTACAACTTCTGCGCGACATTTATTATTACTATTATTACCATCATTATTTTCTTGAAAGAAAATTTGATCCGACGATGACTGATCTGTTTTTATGACAACTTCTCCGTCATTTCCTTCTCCCTTTCAATAGTTCAAGTGCAGATGGATACTTTTTAGAATCAGGACCATTACGTTTTGTAGACAACAAACTGACAATCAATAAGGGTGGATGGCACGAGTTTGCAAATGTTGTTTTCTGTAAGGAATCGGGATTTCTTTTCTTTTCTTTTTTGTTTTGAACAAGGAAAAAAAAAAAAAAAAAAAAAAAAAGCTGAACTATGATTTATTGCTCACGACATTTTCTCTTCTTTTCTTTAAATTCAAATTTACAAGTGGATCAGCCGGTTGGAACAGGACTTAGTTTCACGAGCAATCAATTACTTGGAACTCTCTCCGAGGTGAGGCTTCATGATGATATTCAGCTCCAACCACTTTGTTCTATATCACGTATTGGATATTATGTATTTCCTCCGCTTTCCTTTCCTTTCCTTTCCTTTCCTTTCCTTTCCTTTCCTTATTCCTATTCTTTCTTATCCTTTCGGAAATGCACCACTTGTATGGATCTGTTTATCATCCTCTAACATTTTACCCACACATTTTTTTCTTATATGTTTCTAACCAACATAGGTGACAGACCATTTTATGGCATTCCTTAAACAATTCTTTATTTTGTTCCCAGAGCGTGCCCAGGATGATGTAAGTTTCTTTTTTTTTTTTTTGACATAGTTCCTTAGAAAAAAAAAAAAAAAAAAAAAAAAAAGAGAAGAGAAAAGTCTAACGATAGCTACCTTTACTTGTATACATGTGTATATGTATATGTATGTCTCAATAGATCTATCTTGCAGGCGAGAGCTATGCTGGAACATATATACCTTACTTTGCTCGAGCTATTCTTTATCATAATGCGGTGGTCCCACAAGGCGAGATTCCCTATAATCTCAAAGGCTTGGCTATCGGTAATGGGTGGATTGACCCTCTACATCAGGTATTAAAAGAAGAACAGGAAGAAAAGAAGAGAGAAAAAAAAGTTAATAGGAGAATATTGGAAGAAATCATAATATCGGTTTGGGCATGCCACGCAAATTAGGAATGAAAGAGTTAACCAATTCCTTTTTTTCTTTACCTGCCTATATATTCACATAGTACGTGTCCTACATTCCGTATATTGAGCATCATAACATAGCGACTCCAGAAATGATGGTAAGAATCATTTTATCCGTTAAACATTGCTTACCAAAAAAAAAAAAAAAAAAAAAAAAAGGAGGAGAGATTATTGAACGAACTATCTGTTGGTTTATTTATTTATTATAGGTAGATTTGATAGCTCAACAGGACAAATGTCTGAGTGATATTCGGTTAGCAGATCGGATTACACAGAGTCAATGCGAATCCCTTGTTACTCTTATTCTGGCCCATACTAGAGAAGGGTAAAAAAAAAAAAAGAAAAAGAAAAAGAAGTTACAAGCATCCTGGTTTGATTTGATTATTTTCTATTACTAATTTTTACCTTTTCTCTTTCCTTCTTTTTTCTGGCCTGATTAGGTCTGAATGTATGAACCAATATGACGTTCGACTAAAAGATTCTTTTCCAGAATGTGGACTGAAGTGGCCGGCAGAGTTGCCTCAGATGAGCGTGTATCTAACAGTAAGAAGCCATATCAAAGGAGGAAGGAAGGAAGAGGAGGAAAAAAAAAAAAAAGAGAGAAAGAAAGGCAAAAGGTTGATGCTTTGATCCATACAAAGAAAGTATGGCCCACTTTTCTCAACTTGTAAATCTGTTCATCAATACATTTATCTAGCGAAGCGATGTTGTGAGTGCTTTACATGCAAGTGATGCTCTCCAGTCATGGACCGAGTGCAGCTCTCGAGTCAGCTCTCAGTTGAGATTTGATAATTCTGCACCAGCAATCACGGTAACTATCCTGAGCAAAGAAAAAGGAATGCTTGTTTATTTTTCTTCTTCTTTTTGTAATGATTTTGCGGATTTGGCTAACGCTTAAAAAAAAAAAAAAAAAAAAAAAAAAAAATGTTATTGGTCATTTTTAGCTCCTCCCTGGAATCCTGGAGAAAGTCAATGTGTTACTATTCAGGTATTTAAGATACAGTGCGATCATTATTCGTGATATCTGCATTTTTTTTTTTTTTTTTTTTTTTATGCAATAATATTAAATCAACATGCGGATCAAACTATTCCTAACTTTTATTTTATTTTATCTTATTTTTTTTTCGATATACATAGTGGTGATCAAGACTTGATCTGTAATCATATTGGTACTGAATATATGATCTCTAACATGACCTGGCAGGGACTCCAGGGTTTCCAAGCGGACGCGGCCAAGAACACATGGACTGTGGATGGTCATCTGGCTGGAGAATGGATCCAGGATAGGAACCTGACCTATGTCAAACTCTTTAATGCATCCCACATGGTCCCTTACGACGCACCTCTTGCAGCATTGGATATGATGAATCGGTTCATGGGTCTAGATACTAGCTTACAATCGTTTTCGTCGAAGCTGGGTACAGATGGAGATGGAGATGGGGATGGGGATGAAGATCTCCCACCATCAAAGCCAGAACCACCAGAGCCAGAGCCATCAGAACCAGAACCATCAGAGCCAGAGCCATCAGAGCCATCAGAGCCAGAGCCATCAGAATCAACACCAGCACCAGAGTCGAAACCAGAACCAGAACCAGAACCAGAACCAGAACCAGAACCAGAACAGCAGCAACAGCAGCAGCAGCAGCCACCGCCACCACCTGGAGGCGAAAAAGTGGATATTGATCAGCCAAAGAAATCATTAATGTCAGCAAAGTAAGTTTTTTTTTTTTTTTTTTTTTTTCTTATTTCGGCATCTTTTAATCATTCTTGAATGATAATTGTAAGACATCCAAACCTATAGTGTATTATGCGCTAATATTACCTTTATTGTTATTATTCTTATTATAACTATTGTCATTCGCCAAATAGTGGCTCTGCGGCACTGCTATTGGTATTGATAATTGCTGGTGTGGGCGTCTTTATAGTTGTCCGCAAGAACCAAGATCGGAAAAAACCTAGTGGTGGACACGATGGGGTTCAATGGTTTCCACTCAGTGGCAATGATTTCTCTAACCATGGTCGCCGACTCGATGAAAATGATCTGTAAGTTCCCTTTATTTTTTTTTTTTTCTAGTGGCACTTAGAGGAAAAGTTAAAAACAAGCTCATTTTGTCCTCTTTTTCTTTTTCTTTTATTTTTTTTTTTTATCTCCGCTTGATGTATGTGTGCTTCATAGACATGAACTTGTCGTGGAAAGCGGTATTATAGATAGTGATGATGATGATGATGACAATTTTGGTACTTCTCGAGGATCAAGGAACTAAGGATAAAATAAAAATTTTCCTAATTGCCTTTATTCAAAAAACATTAAATTGGCCAACAGAGTAAAATAGAACATGAAATAAGAAATGAAGCAAAGACCAAAAGGTGGAGAACGCTTGAACAAACACACCGTGTATCTCCTTCACAGCAGTTGGTCCTCCTGAATGCCCTGCTGCACAGCATCACATGTTTGTTTGTTTGTTTGTTTGGCAAAGTGACAAAGGTAATTTCAAAATATTAAATTGGATAACTCCTCTTCAGACATTAAGCCATCGAATCAATTCAGTCAGTATTTTAAAAATATATTTATTTACTCGACGACTTTCTGGCGAAGACCCAATAAATGATCTGTAATTTGTGTTATATCTCTATTTTGCCGCTTTTCAATAAATGAGCTTCGCCAAACATCTTTCTCTTCTTTGTTCTCTTCCACTCCCCTACTCCTGCCGCCTCCACTATCGATTTCAACATCACTCAAGTTATGTCAATGGCAGTCGCTGAGAAAAAGTTTCAAGCATTTCACTCCATCAACTCGGATGGATCATCATTCTCATTATCAGTTAACAAACATATTGAAGCCCACTTTGACCGTAAAAGACAGGAGTATACCATCCTCTGGGATGATATTGTATTCATTTACAAGGATGCAATCCATGTAGAAAACAGAGGAGTACCGCTATTGTTCCTTGTAGACGATGAGACCTTGGAGTAGTAATGAACTCTCAATATTACTTGCCACATCTATATTATCTGTTTTTTTTTTTTTTTTTTTTTTTTTTTTGATTATTTGTTTAATGACTAAGGTTAACTCGATCATTGTAAAACGTGTACAATGGTGACAATCCGCTTCGAATTCGTGCAGAGCTAGATGTCGTTCTGGATGTTGTCATTCGCTCCCAGGCAGGCGGCTCAGAAGGAGCAGCTACAACGTTAAGGGATGAATCAGTTGCATCAGAAATGAATAACGACACTACGTACGGTTATATCAGGAAGACTGACAGCAATGGCCTCAAAAGCCTAGAGACACATGTGAGAGAACTTTATATAAGAGAAAGGACTGCAGAATCTTCGACTGGAAACAGTTCTCAAATAGAGAACAATTCAAGATGTGAATCAGAGACTTTAATAGAGCTAGCGGTACAAGGGGTTGGCAAGATGGCAGCAATTCTGGTGGATGATGAGGAAGGAGATGTAGGCAAAGAAGATAGTACCACTCAGTATAACTTAGGCTGCATGTGCCATGAGGGCAACGGAGTCGCACAAGACTATACAAAAGCCATTGAATGGTATCTCAAAGCTGCCAACCAAGGAAATGTCCCTGCTCAGAACAATCTAGGCGTTATGTACCGCCATGGCTATGGGATCGCACAAGACTATACAAAAGCCTTTGAATGGTATCTCAAGGCTGCCAACCAAGGACACGCCACTGCTCAGAACAATCTAGGCTGGATGTACGGTCATGGCAATGGAGTCGCACAAGACTATGCAAAAGCCTTTGAATGGTATCTCAAGGCTGCCAACCAAGGCGAAGCCAGTGCTCAGAGCCCTCTAGGCTGGATGTACGGTCATGGCAATGGAGTCGCACAAGACTATACAAAAGCCATTGAATGGTATCTCAAGGCTGCCAACCAAGGACACGCCACTGCTCAGAGCAATCTAGGCGCTATGTACCAATATGGCAAAGGAGCCGCACAAGACTATACAAAAGCCATTGAATGGTATCTCAAGGCTGCCAACCAAGGAAACGCCGATGTACAGTACAGCCTAGGCAACATGTATCGTAAGGGCAGTGGTGTTCCACAAGATTACATAAAAGCCTTTGACTGGCATATTAAGGCTGCAAATCAAGGGAACACCACTGTTCAGGGAAGGCTCGATCGCATATATAAAGATGGCAAGGGGGTTTCTAAAGACTACAAAAAAGCCTTTGATTGGTATCTCAAGGCTGTCAACCAAGGAGACGCCGTTGCTCAGAACTACCTAGGCGACATGTACCGTGAAGGCAAGGGGGTCCCACAAGACTACGCAAAGGCCTTTGACTGGTATCTCAAGGCTGCCAACCAAGGAGACCCAAATGCTCAGGCCAATCTAGCCTGGATGTACTATCATGGCAATGGAACCCCACAAGATTACGCAAAAGCCTTCGATTGGTATATCGAAGCTGCCAGCCAAGGAAGTGCGGATGCTTGACGCATGATTGCTTTAATGTATCAAGAAGGCAAAGGAGTCCCTAGCAGTCGTGTTGAAGAAAAGCTGTGACACCAAAAAGCTACAAAGCAGGATGATGTTAATGTCCGGTAAAGCCAAGCCCTGAAGCCTCCATGAGTTAACTGGTGCACAACATCGCTAAACACGCTCACTCGCGTTACCTCTCCTGCTATAAAGAGCAATGAAGGTAATATCTTAGTGTCCACCATTTGACTAGGAGATCAAGTGACGACCATTAAATAGCATCAACACCACTCAGAGGATATTCTCAAGTCTTTTTTTTTATTTTATTTTATTTCATTTTTTTATTGAATGACGAACTATATGTTTAACATTCAAAGAAATAAGGTGTGATGGCAGTGAGAAGTGAGTAAAAGCAAGGGATTAGATCGTCGATCATAGTTTAATGAGCTGATACTAGACTACATGCTACAAACAGAAAACGTTAGGTCAGGCATGGCAAATGGTTAAAGATTACTTTTCACAATAAGGCCTTCTCCTACAAGATAGTTAGTGAAAAGTGTCTTCTTTTGTGTTTGAGACTGGCGATTATATAATACTGCGAGCGCGTGTGGACAGTATGTTGAAATAAGCAAATATGCAGAGATCTTCTCGTAGGCAGAGGGGCTATGGTGTCATTTGGTAAAAACAAAACACATCATTGATGCTGAAGTGGCAAGTGACCAAGTTGAGAATTTTGATATGCGTTTGGCTTGTGTTACAGCAATGGTACTCCAAGTTTACCAAAAAAAAAAAAAAAAAAAAAAAAAAATTGAATACGATGGTTCATTACGATGGTATTCGGGGTCAATGCTATAATGGTTGATTGATAGAGCGGAGCAGCGAAAAGTTGACAAATGTCAAGCAAGGTCATCTGGAATAAAGTTCTGGTCATATTTCTGACCTACATGTCTTGACTGATACTATTTACTTGTTTATTTCTGGTTGGAATCATTAAGTATTAAGAAAGAAATATATATTAAAAAAATAAAAAAGAAAAGAAAAGTCGATATCTGAACCACTCCAAGATGTGTTTAATAGTTGCAGTAACTTGTGCTATCACACCACGCGATTGAAAGGATTTAAAACTTATAAATTATATGATATTAGATTCTGCCTCGATAAAGAATAGCTATAGTCAACCTTGTCAAAAAAAAAATTTTTTTTTCTGCTATTGTTGTTATTGTTGTTTTATTGACAATGCATAAATGTGCGCATGAATGTGAGTTTTTTTTGTTGTCGTCTAAGAAAAAAAAGGGGAAAAAAAAAAAGTAAAGTGCTTTTGATGATGGCGATGATAATATTAATAGATGTTGAAAAAAAAAAAAAAAAAAAAGAAAGAAATTGAAAAAAAATAAAGCACTATGTGTTATTCATCGCCTTCATCTTCATCATCGCTATTATCATCATGGCCTTCTTTTACACTCTCTTTTGATTTTATGCTCAATTCCACAGCCTGCAAGCAGTTACGAGCCTCTTTTATCCTCAACCAACGACCCATTTTGTGTTCTTGTCCAACTGCAGCCACTATCAGCGTCCTTTTAGAGAGAGTAGGCTGGTAGATTTGAAGATCATTTACAAAACCAACCTATAGGAGATATCAGGAAAAGGAAAAGGAAAAGGAAAAGGAAAAGGAAAAGGAAAAGGAAAAGGAAAAGGAAAAATCAGATTAAAATCATCGAATTATTTCTTACAAAGTTTTAAAGCGCACTAATATAGAATAGAACGAAGGGTCACATACCATAGGAATAGTGCTAATAAGCGAAAAGTTTTTCATGTTCTTTCCGATTTGCCAGACGCGGACTGTGCCGTCCCAGGATCCGCTGATAAACATATCCGAGTACCTTAACGAGGCCAATGCTGTGATCCAGTACGGGGTCTCGACACCTCCACTAGGCTGGGGTCCACCAGAAGAGTAATCCAAAGGTGATGTATGATAGCCGTGAGCCAAGGGCATGGAGAAGACCGCTTTCTTCCTGTTGATGTTCCAAAGTGAAATCGTACCACTGTCACCACCGGTCAAAAAGTTTTCTTCATCAATCATCGCTATACAATCCATGGATCCTTCCAAAAACGAGGGATCTTTCTTCTCTTTCATGATCACTCCACCATTTGGACCAGGTGTTGGTACCATCTTGGGCTGCTGTGCTGGTTCATCAACGCCATCGCCATGACTGCTGCCAGTGCTATCCTTAGTGAGCCTCTTTGGGCGGATAAACCCACCTCCACGAAAAACCAATTGCGTCTCTTCAACGATCTTCCATAGACGGATAGTACGATCCCTTCCTCCAGTTGAAACGCAATGCTCTTTTACCAAGCTGTCTACTGCGGTGATACTGTCCTGATGACCAAATAAGGTTTCGATATAACTCATCTCATCCACATTCCAAAGTTTGACTGTACGATCACTTGAGACCGAGTATAGCTGGTTGTTCTGACCTTTACGGAAGGACATGCTCGTGACGGTATCCTTGTGCTGTTGCTTGAAACAATGTAGCCACTTGTCATCTTTGACGGACCAAATGTTGATCTTCTTATCTTTGCCTCCTGACGCCAAAAACTGATTGTCTGGGCTGACAGCTAAGCATATAACGTGATCTGTATGGCCCTTGAAATCCTCAACACCCTTTCGGGCTCCTGGAAAAACCCATAACTTCTTGCCTGTTTTGATATCCCATTTGATAATGGACCCATCTTTTGAGCCAGAATAAGCAAATTGTCCGTTCTCTGTTGCCGCGAGTGATGTAACACTTAGATTATGACCTTTACAGATTTTGATAGAGGTTTCAGGATGAGGGAGTGGAAATTGAAAAGTATCTGCAAGCTGTCTGTGAAGGCGTCCCTGAACTTCGAGCTATATGAATACAAGGAAAAAAAGGAAGGGAGAAAAAAAAAATTAGTGTTTAATAAAGTGCAAGTCATAACTTGTACTAAGATTTTTTTTTTTTTTTTTCCTTCAATGAACTTACAGCATCCTGCTTCAAACGGTCTGCAATATTATCCCGATCAATGTCTGCTGCATCGTATCCAATATCATCTTCTAAAAACAATAAAGATCAAAATCATTAAAAAATTAGTTACCAATATTCAAAATATGAGACTTTTAAGAAATAGATCTTTATGTTGTAATGCTTTTTTTTTTTTTTTTTTTTTTTTTTTCTTTACCTCCGATGTGTTGCAAAGTATCAATGTAATTTTTTGCCAACCTCAATCGCTTCTGAGCAGCGGTTTCGTTAGCCAGGGCATCATCTTCCGAGTCCTCATCAGAGTGTCGAAATTCCAGATCCATATCATCAATTCCTCCACCGATCTGGTCGTCGTCTTCATCATTGTCCTCGATGGCGGCAGCAGTGGCTTTACGACTACCTACGCCTGCTCCTGCTCCTGCACGGCGACCTTTTTTTCCAGATTTTAATGCTGTGTCTTCATCTGATGAATCACCTCGGAGTTTCCGTTTACCGGCCAAGGAAGTATTGGCTCTATTCTTTTTACCAGTATCAACTTTAGGTGGTGGATTGATCACTTTTGACTCTCCAGTCCTTTTGACTCCCCTTCCTCCTCCAGTACGGCCGCCAGTCTTTTTGACAGGCGCGAAAAAAGGATCAGACATTGCTTTTTTTTTTTTTTCTTTTCTTTTTTGTTTGTTTTGTGAAGTTACTTTGCGAAATGTCAAGGAATGTAAATATTAAAAAAATAAAAAATAAAAAAAAAAAGAGTAGAATGACAAAAAAAAATGTCCAAGGAAAAAAAAAGAAAATGGAGGCGTATAAGAAGGGAAGTGGAGCAAAGTTAGGAAGAATGCGTTTTCAGGAAATGGAGTGGTACAATTACACAGCGACAGCTCTTGAATTTACACAACCATCTATCACCTTTAACTCCTGCTTAAAAAAAAAAAAAAAAAAAAAAAAAGCAAAGCTTAATGTGGCTTTTAAGGGCAGATCAAAAACAAAATCACGTGTACAATTTTCATTGATCTGATTAATGTGAAAAAAAAAAAAAAAAAAAAAAAAGTGTTGAAAACTAATATGAAGCTCAATATAACCATTAGTTTTCAACAACCATGAGAAAACGAGTTTTTCTTTTTTTTTTTTCTTAATGATTGATCTTGCCTATATATATTAAAAAAAAAAAAAAAAAAAAAGCATTGAAATTAATAATACCTTAATATTTAGACGATGGATATTTCCGCGTCCACCTGTAATGCTTTACAATTCCTTCGCTATACATTTGAGATGCCAGAGTAGAAAGAAAAAGCAAATGTACATTCCAAGGGCAATTTATTAAATAAAATGAACCTGTCTAAAGAATGAGTTCCTGAAATATCGATAAGATAACGGGCGCACAAGATCTTTTTTTTTTTTTTTTTTTTTTTGTTAGAGTACCTTCTGATCGTATGCTCAAAGTGTTAATTGCCCCTCCAATGGTGTTGATATTTAAACGTAGTTTGTCAATTGGTCTCTACACTCCCTAATGTCATTAAAAGTATTAAGATTAATATCAACACCATCAGCAGCAACAGTAGTAATAACAGTAGTAGCAAAATCTGCAACCACGATGGAAACATTAGATAGGATCCATCAGTAAGGCACTAACTAGATATTGAAACCCACGATGTTGGCCGCTTCAAGAAGTCAAGGAGAGGCCTTTTTGACGACCGCAATAGATCTGAGAGAGACTTCAACAGAGACGGATTTCCAAAAGCGGAACTGTTATCTCTCAGATCATTATGAGAGCCGTGACGTATTATTATCGCCAGCCAATTGTACCCTTTTGTTTATATTTTTATATGTTTTTTTTTTTGCTGGTCCGCCCGCCTTCGCCTGGTTTTTTTTTTTATTATTGTTATTTATTAATGTCTTCAACCTCTCCTTCTTCCTCCTCTTCTTCACACCTCTCCCCTCTTTTCTTGTCATTAACCCCTTTGCTCATTCATAATGTTCGCTGCTAAGCGTGCCACTGTTGCCTTCAACGGTCTCAAGGCCCTCTCATCCAAGGTACACACTTCTCAACCTTTTTTTTTTTTATTTCCTCATTTCCTTTAGTCTCCTGCTTTGCTCTCACTTTCGAAATTGTTCCCACCCCACATTGATCAACTCGGGCACAATCTTAATTCAATCCAATGTCTTTGATGATTTCCAAACTAAACCTATACTTTCCTTTCCTTTATAAATATAGACTGCCATGCGCTCGATGGCCTCTCAGGCTGCCGGCTCCATGCCTGGCGCCTTCAACGCCAAGAAGAACGCCAACGTAAGAATTACCTGCCGCTATCTATTAAATATTCTATTCAGCAACTATATCAAGCTACACTTATTTTTATTTTACATATATATATCTATGAATCAAAGACTCAAAGGACATAATCAATACACAGCATGCAAGCAAAGGATCATAGACAGGGAAAAAAAAAGAAAAAAAAAAAAAAAAAAAAAGAAAATTTAGACTTGTTGGATTACGATTTGAGACAAAATTATGATTGTCTTTAAGCAAGAGATTCGGTCAAGGAATCATTAGTTTTGTTTTATCATTATTATTGCTATTCTAGCTTGAAGTGGACTCGAAAGTTTTCCTTTGCCTCAGCATCATGGCCTGGTCCTACCGCTTGTAGTGAAGACCTTTTTTTTTTTTTTTTTGTTTGTTTGTTTAATATCATTATTTTTTTCATTCACTACGGTGCAATGTGTGAATCAATAATCTCTCCACAACATAATTGATCGATTTGTGGAGATATCTTGTGAAGAGCGTAGAAAATTCAGTTTTACTTCATACATTTATATAACCTTGCTAATTATCAAAAGAAAACAATCTACTTTTTATTCCTCATTGGCTTTATAGGGCAACTTCACTGTCACCCTCATTCCTGGTGACGGAATTGGTCCCGAGATCTCAGAGTCTGTTGTCAAGATCTACAAGGCCGCTGGCGTAAGTGCTTTTTTATGTGTAGCTTGAAGGAAATCGGCTTTATTTTATTTTTAATCTGTTTCAAAAAGATGATGGAGAAACTAAAGACCCATATTTTCTTTGACTGAATGATCTGAATTAATAGGTCCCCATTGAATGGGAACCCGTCAGTGTCACCCCTGTCCTTAAGAATGGAAAGATCGCCATTCCTGACGAGGCTCTTCACTCTGTCAAGAAGAACACTGTTGCTCTTAAGGGTCCCTTGGCCACCCCCGTTGGAAAGGGTCACGTTTCCTTGAACTTGACTCTCCGTCGGTAGGTTTCCTCTTCAGAAAGCAATGTTTTAGTCTAGGTGTTGATCAACTTTAGGGTTCTTGTAGTTATAGCACAATCAACCAATCCCTGTACAACTCGTCTTGGAAAACTGGATGGATGTCAACTTCAATGACTAAGGTTTTAACTTGCCATGGTCGTTTTTTACTCTTTGTACATAGTACCTTCAACTTGTATGCCAACGTCCGTCCCTGCAGGTCAGTCGTCGGCTACAAAACCCCTTATGACAACGTCGACACTGTCCTCATTCGTGAGAACACTGAGGGAGAGTACTCTGGCATTGAGCACGAGGTTGTCGATGGTGTCGTTCAATCCATCAAATTGATCACTAAGGATGCCTCCGACCGCTGCGCGCGCTATGCTTTCAACTACGCCAAGGAGACTGGTCGCAACCGCGTTACCGCCGTCCACAAGGCCAACATCATGAAGTTGTCTGATGGTCTCTTCTTGTCCTCTTGCCAGGAAGTTGCTCGTGAGTTCCCCGAGATCAAGTTTGATGATTTGATGTTGGATCGTGCCTGTTTGCAGATCGTTCAGGACCCAAGCATCTTTGCCGACACTGTCATGGTCATGCCCAACTTGTACGGTGATATTCTTTCCGACATGAGCGCCGGTCTCATTGGTGGTCTTGGTTTGACTCCCTCAGGCAACATTGGCCGTGATGCCTCGATCTTTGAGGCTGTTCACGGCACTGCCCCTGATATTGCTGGTCAGGATAAGGCCAACCCCACTGCCCTCCTCTTCTCTTCTGTCCTCATGTTGAGACACATGGGTCTCAACCAATTTGCTGATCAGATCGAGAAGGCTACTTTGAAGGTCATTGCTGATGGCAAGGTTTTGACTGGCGATTTGGGTGGTCGCTCCACCAACACTGAATTCACTAATGCCATCATCAGTGAGTTGTAAAGTTGGTAGATAACAGTCTGCAGATAGAGAGCGAAAGAGGTGTGTTTCTTTTATAGGACACAGCCTGTATTGTCTTTTTTTTAATTATCATCATTTTACTACTTTCCTCCCCTCCTCATCATTTGTTTTAAGCTCATCTTCATTTCATCCTATACAATAAATACCAAAACAATGGATCATTGCTCATACCGTGATCTTGATTCTATCTAATTGATATACATGTGTAAATAACTTTGTACAGTCATGTCTTCTTAAAACAAACATCCTATTCAAAATTATATTTTAAGTCCCTCCAATTTGAATTCATTCTGACATCAGGCGCCTATATTTGACAAACATCTCTATGCTGACCACCGTATCGTTGAAGAGGGTTGTAAGCTCAGGACCATGGACTATATTGTCTAGATCTTCAATAGCGTCCAGAAATTCTTCAAGGGTTTCTTGAAAATAATTGTTGACATTCCCTTGATCTGACTCCATAGTGTCCTCTTCACTTTCGTGATTCGGATCTGTTATCGGCGACGAAAAGGCTTCTTGAGGAATCGCTTTCACAATTGTGCGGCTACGAAGCTCGACAGGGATCTCTCGCTCGTAGAGGCTGTTCAACGTCCAAAGGCTTTGGCTCGATATAATCAAAGTCCAAATCGTCTTCCTCAAAACCACCCTCGTCTAAGAAATCAGATTCAGGGTGAGACTCATGCTTTAGGACCTTTTCGATGGCTTCTGTAACCAATAAGGACGGTCCTTCGTTTTCGCACATTTTAATATAGTTAAGAACCGCAAAACCATTTCGCTTGGAAATGAGTTTTCTCTTTAGACGGTCTATATGATCTTTTTTTGTTTTGATGCCAAGCCTCAACGGGCTCTGCTTGTGGTCGTCTGGAATGACAGGAACCTTGGCGAAGCCATTGCGGATACAGTCAGCAGTAACCATGCTCCAAGCCTCGGAGAGAAATGGCCATGAGCAGGCTCGACAGCAAGGGCTTCGTTCGCCATGGCCTTGAGGAAGAGGCCGGTTTCGTCGCAGTTATACACGTCCTCGGAGTCAAGTCGAGTGAACTCATTTTGAAATTCCTGAATCCGGCCCGAGGTCAACAGAAGCACTCTCTCCATGCGCAACAAATCCTTTGATCCCCGTCCGTAACCTGATTGTCTAACCAACCACGAAGTTCATGGGTTCAGGGCGTACTCCCGAGCGATAGTAATCCTTAATGATGGTCCACATCACGGCAAACGAGCATCAGTGACGTGAAATGGTTAAGCGCCCCTTACCTTAATTGTTTTCAACAAAGATGTCCAGAATTCAGAATTCGGTGCGCACTCGGTTTGGCTTGCTTGCAAAACCAGTGAGTTAATATGGCGCCCACTTTTGTCTTTTGAATACGTGTCAAACGCTGGGACTCGAGAAGAGCCTCTGATGTTGTGATGCAACATTAGAATAAATTCAAATTAGAGGGGTTTAAATATATTTTAGAATTGGATAGAATAACTTTGCTTCTCTAAAAGTTTTATTTTCAAGGTGACATGATTGTAAGAAGTTCTGGATTGACACCCTTGTGAAACTCAAAGAGCCGTTTTGCCAAGGAACCCTATAATCACCATTATCATCCTTATATATAAGGAATAAATCCAACACACTCAAAGTGAAGCGGTCCCAAAAGATAAAGTCTGTGAGAGCCTGCACTAAATGAGAGTCCATGCGAGCCGAAAGCCGAGCTAATTTACAACAAATCTTCGGTTCGCACCAGTTTATGGTTGTGTTTTGAGCATGTGTAGAAGCGACTATTGTACAATCTCGCATCCATCCCACACTATGGTACAACAATGATTGAATATTAACAAAGCAATCAATTTGCACGGAAAATAAGTCCGAAATCTATATAAAGTGTCTCTTTCTTTCTTTCTTTTTCTTTTTTTTTTTTTTTTTTTTTTTTTTTCTCATTCTCTTGCAATTTCTCATTGGATATTTGTCTGTCTCTTGAATCACTCTCCATCAATCCCAATCAATCACCGTGATCCGTGCATTTGTTTAACAAAACTTTTGACTCCACACTTCCCTCCTTCCTCACGAGCTAATCTCGCCCACCTTTTTTTTTTCTTTTCAAATATGAGCACCTCCACAATCACTGCAATCATTGCATTGTTGAAAGAGAAATTCTTGAAGGGTACTCGGTCACAGAAAGCTGGTCTTTTCGCATTCCTGTCAGTTCTCTTCTTAATTGCTAAATATCCAAACCGTGCCATTGGTACTGGGGCTAGACCCGATCTGAAGTCCATCACTTGGAAGACTGAGTTACCTTTGCTTGGAAGTACATTATCGATTTTACGAACTAAAAATAAGTTCCCCGATACCCTTGTCGAAGCTTTTGAGGATGGGAAGAGCTCTGTTATGTAAGGCCTTTTTTTTTTTTTTTTTTTTTTTTCTTCTCCTTCTACATATACAAAAACAATGAAGTGAAATAACTAGAAAAAAAAAAAATTCAATTCAATTCAATTCAATTCAATTCAATTCAAATTGTTATTCCCTTAGGACATCGTCTATGATTGGGATGGGACGTGTTATCGCCATCAATGACCCTGTATTGCTCGAGCATATTATGAAGACCAACTTTGAGAATTATGAGAAAGGTGATATCCAAAATTCGAACATGTCTCAAGTCCTCGGAAATGGTAATTTTGATAAGCAAGAAGAAAAGGTTGGAGAGAGAAAGAGTTTTTTGTGTTCAACAAAAGATTAAAATAAGCTTTTTTTTTTTGTGACAGGTATTTTCGATTCCGATGGTGATCTGTGGAGGATGCACCGAAAGACAGCCTCACATGTTTTCTCCACAAAGATTTACCGGTCGCTGATTGATGGACCTTTCATCGAACATACCCTTCACCTCTGTTCAATCTTGGAAAGAGTTGCAGACTCGGGCAAGGCTGTGGACCTTCAAGCACTGTTCTTACGTTTGACTTTGGATGCATTCGCAAAACTGTCCTTTGATTTGAATATCGACTCTCTTAGTAATGAAGGCAAAGACCCTTTTGGAACTGCCTTTGACTTTGCAGTCGGCGCAACCGATGAACGCTTCTTTAATCCGCTCTGGAAATTCACAGAGCGTTTGACAGGCCAGGCCAGAAAGATGAGAAACGCTGTCAAAGTCATAGATTCTTATGCCTACGCCGCAATTCGTCAGAGACGTCAAGAGACTGAGGAGGAGGCTCAGGCACGTCAGGCACGCACAGGACGAGAGGATCTGTTGGATCTGTTCATCAAGTGGCGAGATGATGATGGCCGTGCTCTTACTGATGTCGAGCTGCGTGATGTCTTTATCAACTTTGTCATGTATGTTCTTCATACCATCGTCGATGCTATGCTGTCTTGCCAAAAAAAAAAAAAAAAAAAAAAAAAAAAAAAACTCATCATCTTTTTCTTTTTTTCTTTTTTAATCTTTATATTCTAGTGCTGGACGTGACACAACTGCGCAGGCATTGAGCTGGATGTATTATGAAGTGATGAAGAATCCTGCTGTGGAACAAAACATCTGGCGTGAGGTAGATCGACTCGGCGACCAACCCAACTATGAGATGGTGACCAAGGATATGCGCTATTCTTCCGCGGTCTTCCATGAGGGTCTTCGTTTGTACCCACCAGTCCCAGTGAACTTGAAGACAGCTGTTGCAGATGACGTCCTACCTAATGGCATTATTGTCAAGGCAGGAGAACGTATTTTGTTCTCGACCTATGCAATTGGCCGCAACAAGAATGTGTGGGGACCTCAGGCACGGGAATTCCTCCCCGAACGTTGGTTTGACGAAAATGCAAAGGCGGTTGAGAAGGGTGTATTATCTAACAATGTTGCACCTGAAGGACATGTCTGGCCCAAAGTCAAGAAGGAGTCCCAGTTCAAGTTCTCGAGTTTCAACGCAGGTCCTCGTATTTGCTTAGGACAGACATTTGCCACCCTTGAGGCCTTGACTATCATCAAGCTGGTCTCTTCCAAGTTCCAGTTCAAGCTAGTTCCAGGACAGAAAGCTCCCTCACCTGCGCCTTCGTTGACACTACCAATGGAAAACCCATTGATGGTCTATGTTATTCGCCGCAAGTGAACTCGATAAAAACCCATTTCAACAAGACTCATTTTATATCCATACGCCCTTTGCACGACCAAAAAAAAAAAAAAAAAGCAAATGATTAAAAGTGTACTTTATTTATTTATTTATTTTATTTTTTCAATGTGATGGAAGAAACCAAGAGATCAGGCTCATGATAGTCAGGATTGCTTTTTTTTTTTTTTTTTTTTTTTTTTATCTCAAGGGACTAGAGATCTTTTAATTGCGCATAACCAGCAAACACTGATTCACTCATGTCTTTATGCGCCAAGAGCAACCCCTTGACGCTCTGAGGAGGGTCCAAACCCTGAAATGTAGCAATAAAACAACTATTAGTTTGTTGTAGAAGCTTTTTTTTTTTACAATGTGCTCCGTGCCAAGTCTTTTTTATCCCTGTATCTAAATTTTTATAAACATTGACAGCAAATTTTTTTATTATTTTCGCGAGATTTACCAGTTTGTAAGCACGTTCCCAACGCTCAAGACGAGTCAAGTCGATACATGGACCATACTTGGATGCAAGGTCAAACTGACGAAGAGTTTTCTCCACGGCAGAGACATCATCCTGGTGAACTACTCACATATTTAAAAAAAAAAAAAAAAAAAAAAAACGACATTAATGAGCTTTCACATGCTGCGTAGTCTTTTTAGGGACTCCTATTCAGCATAAACTAGTTCCGTCTCCTCTTTCTTCTCCTATGAAAACAGATAACATACTTCCTTCTTTAGTCTCAATGGACAGCACAGTCTTGGCCTTGGCCCTTCGAGTAGAGGAAGGAGGAAGGTCCTTGATCTCCGTGAAGAGTTTATATGGTGGGACGGGCGACGTTAAGGTTGAAGTTGTAGAAGGGGTTGGTCCAGACTTTAGTTTTGTAGCAGGGGGTTGGAGCACGTCAGTATCATCATTACCATCACTCCACGAATCATCAATCTCATCAACCTTATTGTTGCTGTCATCATTGTAATCAATATCAGAGCTGGAAGAGCTTTTAATATCATCCTCATCTGTTGGAGAGGATTGCTCTTGCTTCTGAAGTGAAGCAGCGGCTGTGGTAGGTGTCTTTGCTGAAGAAGGAGAGGCCGATGGCTTCTTGTTGGCGATAATTCGTTGAGCGGTAGTCGGCTTTTTACCGCGTTGGAAAAAGCTGGCAGCGTCAGCGGCAGTGGCGGCTTTGGCAGCCAAGGCCTTTTTTGGAGGTGCCATTTGAAAGAACGGAAGGAGGGGAGGGGGGGTCAGAGAGGCAAGGGGGTGTATGAGTGTTAATGATTGTTGTTTTCAGTTAGTCGTTTCCCTCCTTGTTGGGTTAAGTTGAGGGGGACCAATGAGGAGAGAACTTTTTATTTTTCTTTGTAGTTAAAGGTGAGAAATGCGCGAATTGTAGAAATGTAAAGAATGAATGAACGAACAAACGATTCGGATTCACATTCTAAAAAAAAAAAAAAAAAAAAGCGCGGGATTAAGAGAAACAAACAGAGCGCGTCAAATGAGAATGACGAACATACAAAATTAGTGGCAAAACCCTAATTCATGATGTTGCACACATGTCATCAAAAAACAGTGTCACGTTTTTTTTTTTTTTTTTTTGTCAGGTTCTTTGTTGGTTACACAACTTTCCTTCTGTTAATGATTGTCAATGGGTCAATGGGACAAAGGGTCAAAGGGTCAAAGGGTCAATTAGGATTTTTTTAGTGCCCTGTGTATTTCTTATAACGCGGGAAAATGAGATGGTGCCTATGCAAGGAGTGAGTTATCATCCATTCATGCAAGAAGAGAGAAAAAAAAAAAAAAAGCTCGGCGTGATGCTTCAAAGGTTATATAATAACGGTAATGTGTTTATATTTCTTCTGCTCTCATGTTCAATTATAAATATTGTACTCTTGTATACCCAGGGTATAAACATGTTGTTGTGTATAAAATATAGTTAATAAATACCACATCTCCGATGGACAATAATGTGTACACCCTTCCTTGTGTCTAACTCTTGTTTTCTTATGTTAGCAAATATGCATTGCTTATTCATACCGCAACTTGGCTCTGATGTTGTTGTACTTTAAATAGTGGCATGCTAACTGTCCAAATATCGTTTGTGCTCTAGCCTCATCTTTTTCTTAAGCCCATTTATCGTTTGTTTATCAGGGCATTCGAAGCACGGTCCACTTGCTGTTGTTCCCCCTGTCTCCTCGTCTGGTTGCTCTGTCCGAGAACAAGCATGTAGCCCTTTTTTTTTTTTTTTTTTTTTTTTTTTATTCTCTCATCTTCCATCCCTCAATGCGATGTGATGTGATGTGATCCAGATAGCATGAATGGATATGGACAGTGGTCTGTCCGTTGTCAGTAGCTTCTCCTTTCTCTTTGATTTCTCTATGGATGGATTACAGAGACAAATTACTGCGACTCCCTCTATCTTTTTTTTTTATTTCTTATTCAGCAGACTTGATCCATTTAGATCAAATCCATTGGCTCACGCAGATTTAATTTCCATCAAGCATCTTAAGAATCCCTTTTTCTCTCTCTCTCTCTCTCTCTCTGTCTCCATCTCTCTTTCCTTTCTTTCTCTCTTTCTCCTTTTCTCCATTTTTGTCCCTTCCCAATTGTCCCAAGTAGGAAGTAGACACATTTCTACACAACCAAACAACAATTCAAATATTCATAAACATCTTCAATCTGCACCTCCTGGGCTTTTCATTTTTTAATAATTCTCCACTTGTCCTTCCCTTAATTATCAGGTATCTTTGATTTCAATCCATCATACTTTTCTCTCTCTCTCTCTCTCTCTCTCTCTCTCTCTCCTCTTTTCTCTTTCTTGAGTGGGCATGGATATCATACATGTATCCGTGTATATTGTTTTATATGTAAAAAAAAAAAAAAAAAAAAAAAAAGCCCCGACCCGACATTTACATTTAATCTTTCCTTTGACAGCAAGATGCAGACACTGATATCCTGATTCATTGAGCATGAGAAAATACCTCAGCAATTTACATGTCTCTTCTTTTTTATTTCATTGTTTTAATTGAAAAGAAAGAAAAAAAAAAAAATTGGGGAAAGCCTTACAGATCAAAAGATATGAGTTGGATTCCTTTTGTATTGATATTCCAGTCAAGCAAGTCAAACTAGGCTTCAATTTCATCGCAGCCACTGCGCCAGGGCACCCTCCCACCTCCACCAACACTCGACGGATTACTCTGCTATGATCATGGAGTGACTTTTTATTTATTTTTTTATTTATTTATTTTTTTTATTTGGAATAAAACATTATAAAAAGGACAGGGTCGTAGTACAAGAAACCCCTTCTCTCCCCACCCCACCCCCAAAGCAATCATCGTTATTTATTGGAGAACCACCATCTTTTTTTTTTTATTTTCTTTTTATGACCCATTCCTATTTCAACATTCTCAAAAGAAAAAGAAAAAAATAAAACGCTTTTTTTTTTTTTTTTTTTATTTTTTTTAAACCCTGGCATAAATAAACATAACACTAACACATTACACATTTACACATTTTATCCATTACAACACCTATGCTTTGATCGCTAGGGCTCTGGCCTCAGTGCATAACCACAACCATCATCATCACAGACAATCACCGCAACTACAACTACGACTACAACTACAATTCATTCATTCCTCACATCTCTCTTCTTCATATCACCAACTTCTTACCATTGGCCTCCAGATTTCTCTAGGCAAAAAAATAATCCGTATACCAACTATCAAAATAGTTATAAAAAAAACCCCCCCCCCTTCTCTACATTTCCTTTTGAACTTCACCCTATCGTCTTTCACCTATAAAATTGTGTCAACGATAAGGAGGAAAAAGGGGAGGAGGGTGAATAACTCTTTCAGCTACGGAACTGATCAAAGAGCTTGGTAGCCTATGAATGAACACCTACCTGGTTTCAGACTCTAAATCCTCCTTCCGTAACGACTTCCATCACAACACCAGTAATGGCAACAACAGCACCAACAAACCAATCACTAGGTCCATACGGGCCTATCCTGGGGATGAAGCATCGCCATGGTTACTTGGCTGCGGCGATCACCTTTGGTTCCATTTGCTTTCTCTCAACCGTCCTCACATTCAGCCTCTCCAAAACCGAAAACGATCTGAAGCAACGAGGACGGTACCTCGTCTTTTGGAATGGACTCTCGGCCACTGTCATCGTCACTGTCTATCTGATGCTAAATGCCTTTGTCGGTGACTTCCCTTGCTTAATATTGCTATGGGGTAAGTCATTCTACAAGTCCATATCTCTTCTTTTATTTTATACATGTATTTCTTTTATTTTTCATGGGCTCATAGTGTGTGAGGGCAGAACAAAGACAAAAAGAGAGAGACGAGACATGAATGATCATCTGTTCATACATTAGGACGCTGGTCATTGGACTGTTAGAATCGTTTATCAATCAATCTACTCTTACTATTGCCTTTGGCAGTAATAATATGCTCATCCCGGTATATTTTTTTTTTTTCTTTTATGCTGACGGAAGGAAAAAAAGAAAAACAAACAAAATGAATGTGGTTGTGTGTCATTTTATAAACCAGGGGGATGGATCTAATATGTCCAAGATTTATTAACATTCAAGGGCTCTCTTTTTCTCTGTCATTGGCTTTATCCACCTTTCTTTTTTTTTTTTCTTTTTCTTTTTCTTTTTTTTTTCTCAGCGGCATATCTTTGTATCATACCCTGGCTCCTGACACACCTCGCAAGAGGGTGGCGGCTTGTGTACATTTACAATCAGCAAGTTGACTTTGAAAAAACAACCCTTCAACGTAATGGCGCCAATAACCTGAATAAAGTCAGGATGTATGAATCTGGACGCGATGCAAGCGCAATAGCAGCTTCAGGCATCACTGGCTCAGACCAAGATGCCCTTGCTACAGGAGTTGCAGCTGTGCCTGGAGCTATCCCAATGACCGTTCTAGATCATGGCTATGGTGCTAGCGCAGATAATCCCAGCCCAGAGCAGATTATGAACAATGACGTACAGAGAGAACAACGGGTTACACAACATGATATCCCTCTAACCATTACCAAAACCAACGTCCATAACGATACTGATATCAACATCAATACCAATACCGATATTAATGCGAATGTCCCTAATATGGATACGGATAATAACGCACCCAACGTCACTACAGAAAAGAATCTTGATGCATCCTTGACATCTTCTAATCTTAAACTAAAACCAAAACTCTCAATACCATTGGCTCCGAATCCTCTCTTCTCCAACAACAATAGCATCGTCAAATCGATAATCACCCCCACCTCAACAACATCAACAGCCTCAAAAATATTTCCATTCGACACCCAAAACGATGGCGGTTCCCTCGCTCGAACAATCTCTCCAACATTAGGAACAGCACTATTCCCTATATCCAATGACACTGTGTTGGAAAGCGATGGCGCAATCGTGCAGGATAAAAACGACATTGCAGACCAGCAAAGAGCGCTCTGTCTGTTGTCGATGGCCTTTGATGATAAACCAGAGCGAGTTAAGTATCGATGGAGCCGCTATCTGCCCTTCAATCAGGCCACAGATGGGAGGCTGGCAGTATTCTTGCTAGTCTGCATGGTCATCCCACTAGCTATCTGCATAGGTATGCAGTTTGTAAGGCCTTCGCCTGTTCAAATCAACCCCATTAATTACAAATGCGGTGAAGGGCCAGTGGTAAGCTTAAGCTCCTTACGTCCTTTGTTGTTGTTGTTGTTGTTGTTGTTGTTTTTTTTTTTTTTTTTTTTTTTTTTTTTCCTTCATTTTTCAATCTACCTCTGATTTTGACTTAACAATTTTTTTTTTTTTTTTTTTTTTTTTTTTTATAGTTTTATCCAGTCTACGGTTTCATGCTGGCATTTCTTGCCATCGCCTGTCCAATCTTAGCATGGAAGCTTTGGTGGATTAAGGATGGGTTTGGGATCCGTAATGAACTCTTGATCACCATGGCCATTGGCCTTCCAGGGTTCGCACTTTATTTCATATCGCCCTTTCATCTCAAGAACCTGGATACAGGTCATTGGAACCATGTGAATTGGCTGGTCATGACAATCTTCTTGGCCCATATCAATTCTATAATCCTACCTTTACTCCAGCTGTATAAGCGGCAGTTGCCAAAAGAAAGACCTAGTAGTGTCCAAGGCTCACAGAATCGGTTCGCTAATATTTTCCGATGGGATTCTCCAAGAACATATCCCGGAGCATCGAACATAGATACAATCAGTGAGATATCTTCCTTACACCTCGATCTGAGATCACCCTCTCAAGGCATACCCCCGAATTTATGCCCTCATTTCCCCCAAAGGTCATTAGAGTTATGCGGTGACACCATCTGTGACCATCACTCTGTTGGACGCCAGAGTGCTGTGTCTCAATTGAGCAACAACAATAACATTAACACTGGGCGCCTTCGATTTCAAGATGAGGAAGGATATCCTGTCCCTGTTGCTCAGAAATTAGCATTTCGCCATCAGCGACTTCGAGGTATGAAGGGGTTCTGGGTGAAGTATGGCAAAGATATTGATGGCAATATGATACCTATCTCTCAAATGAACCCTCGCGCGTTTGAGTATGCCCTTCAGGATGCAGAGATGCTTAATGAGCTTGTGAAGTTTTCGGTGAGCGTCTTTAGTGCCGAAAACACAAAGTTTTTGCAAGAATACGATGGATTGAAGAAACAAGTGCGTGAATACTACCGCCTAGCGGGTCACTCGAGTTCTTCCCATAACGGCGGTGCAGATCCAGGTTCAGCCATTGGACGCGCCTCTAAGAAGCACAACCGCTATTTGTCGGACGAATCAGGATCGATCGCTACATCCTTTGGTGATAGGTCTATGAGGTCACGGAAACAAAGACCGTCACTCCTGCGTACTTTTGTGTCATCGCTATACAGTAGAAAGTCAGGACATGGACCTGCTGTTGATTATGGCAGAGATAGTGATATGGCCAGTATGAATGAGAGCAGAGTTGGGAGTGAGGAGGATCAGAACACCGCAGCAACGACCGTGGCTGAGCAATCTGATGATCAGTCAAAGCCGAGCAGTAATACTGTTGCTCAGTACTATACTGTACCAAGGTCATTTGGCAAGCATAAGCAGGACAAAAAGATGAACGTCTGGGGACATTCGCTTCAGAGAAGCCCCAACCCTTCTTTCCTTTCGCCTTATGGGGCACTGAGCGGAGGAGAGGAGGCGGATGAAACTATTGAGGGTCCTCAGTCGTGCCCCATATCGCCTCCTTTCCCTTCATGTAGAGTAGCTTCTGAAAAACAACAGCAGCAGCAGCATGGGTATGAGCAAAAGGTAAACACGAATGAGCAAGCGTTTCAGAGCTCAAGAGCAGCCGACTGTACAACTGACGACATGGATGAGTTAAAGCCTGGGGTTGAAGGTGGAGATGGTGATGGCAACGGCCATGGCGAAAAGTCCTCCTGCTCAAGTCGGTTTCCCAGAGGAATAACTTTAGAAAGACCCCATGACGCGGCACGTGGCGGTGGGGTAGCCCAAACAGCCCATATCGATATAGCACCGTATCGTCCATCGAGCCTATCCGCGTCTGCAACTTTCACACCACGCCTACCTTCACAACCTCAGGTTTATGGCTCTAGCCCCCTCCGTCTTATTCCACCCTCATTCCGACGGACTATGTCAGCATACCCTGTTTTAACTGCAACGGCAGAAGAACATAATTTGTCTCAGGAAAGTCTTCCTTCGCCGTTGTCTCTCAAGCAGGCCGCAGTGGAAGGATTGCACGACTCTTCGAACGAATACCAGCAGCAGCAGCAGCCAACTATGAACTCACACACTCAGACGTCGTCATCATCATTTTCCAGCTCTCAGCAGCAACAGGGGCAGCAGCAAACCCAACCTTTACGATCTCGAGCTCACTTGCAGGAGGAACAACAATCTATACCTTCCACGGCTCCTACTTCACGCGAGATATCCATAACGAACCCTTATTTCAGCAACATCAACATTAACAACAACAATAATAACAGTAAGGGTCACACACCAGTCCCCCGAGCCTTACTTCCAGCGTATTGGGAAATTTGCCACACATTCATCATGCCGAATGCGACGTTGGAACTCAATCTGAGTGGGCACTACGTCCAAGAAATCAAGGACCTCTTTTTGAATTCGGAGCCCTATTTAGAGATGTATGAGCCCATTGTGCGTGAAGTTCAGGAGCTGGTCTATGTGAACGTCTGGCCCAGGTTTGTGCAATCTATCCAAAAGCAGCCTCATAGCCGTGCAGAAATGCTGAAGGGATCTTGGAAATCGTTTTCTGGAAAGACAAGAGCAGAAAAAAGAAGAATTGGAGCTTTTCATCAAGACCTAGACCAAGAGCATGATCTTGTTGAGGTAGGAGGGGGAGAAGGAGAAGGAGAAGGAGGAGGAGGAGGAGGAGAGGGAAGAGGAAAAGGAGAAAGTGCAGTAGTCAAAGGACGAAGGAAAAATAGGGGTCAAGGGCATGCGGATTTATCTGCTCTCAACATTGGGGCGTCAACTTCAAAGGACAAATTGCAGCAACCGATGGACGAGTTTGAATATAGTCCTACGCCGCCGCAGGCGTCATATATCCGTGGGGATTTTGGACACCTTGGAGGTCCTAGTAACGAAATTGAAGTAATTGAAGGAGGAGGACGTACGTTACTACCACAAATGCCTAGTCAAATTGTGTATAATAGGGGTCTTCGACAGGTACCTGCCGAAATGGACCGGCTGAATCTAAGTCGCTATGGCGTCATGCAAGACTTGGACCTCTCTGCCTTTGAGAGGATCGTTGTTGATCCAAAGTAGGGAGGAAGAGCAGGCAATAATCGCATGAAGAGAAATTTTTTCTTTTTTTTTTTTTTTTTTATTTTATTTTATTCTTTTTTTTTTTTTTTTTGTATGTGTGCTAATTTAATTGTGTATTTGACCTTTTATTCTTACGTGTTACATTACATTTGATATACCATCTGCCTCCTTATGTATTATTGTTATTATTGTTATATACTCTACTTTCGTTTTACTCTATTTTTTTTTTTTTCTTTCTCATCCAGCCCTAATAAATAATATATATATATATATATATATATAGTATAAACGTATCAGATGATTCTTTATGACATGAAGAGCGGAATAGAATTCTGTGGGCTACAACCAAGGCAGAGGATAGTTTTTTTTCAAATACACAAATCTATACAGGGTTACAAGCATGAGAGAAGGACTGGGAAAAGAAATCAGTCTTTTTTTTTTTTTTTTTTTTTTTTTTTTTGTACTACCGTCATCAATTGGGCGGGGGAAGCAATAAGCCCATCTTTCATGCATGCCAATGTGAGTGAAATCTTTTTTTTTTTTTTTTTTTTTTTTGTTTCTTCCGCGGAGACGCGTCTTTTATTTATTTATTTTTTTTAAATGGATAAACTTCAACAGACTTAAACTTTTCCAGGAACCACATTTTTTAAAGTTTAAGAGAATGCATAAAAAAATAAAAAAAAAAAAGGGTGCATCTATAATATATACGTATGGGGGGTTTTTTTTTTGTCTAAGCCCATCGCCACATTGCATCGCTCACGTTTGTTCAGGACAAGCCTTGAGAGAGGAGGGGGAGAGGTTACCTGACATCCCCTGAAACATCTCTATTGCGTGTAGTATACATTCATGTTCCTGAAGAAACTTCTTTTTTTTTTTTTTTTTTTTTTTTTTTTTTTGAACTAAGACCTCTTTATCATCCCGTAGTATATTACTTTGTCACAGGAACAGAGAACACTCATTGCTTACTTATTCTTCAAAGGGGGGAGAGAGAGAAAAAAAAAAAAAAAAAAAAAAGGATGCATGAATATACTCTCGTCATTTCCTTATTTTTTTATTTTTTTATTTTTTTTTATTTTTTTCTTTATTGCCAATACTAGTCCTTTGATCATCAGCCATTCGTTAACCATAAAAAAGGTACATGTAACAAGTACAAGTACAAGCATAGCCCAAAACTGAATTTTATTTATTTTTTTTGCGGATCAAAATAATTATGCATCATTGCTGTAATTTTTTCAGTGAGTGGTCATTCAAACAATCTTTATAATTCACTTTCCCATTTAAAAAAAATTAAATAAAATAAAATAAAATAAAATAAAATAAAAAAGAGTAATAAATAAATAAATCGAATAAATATTTTTTTATTCTTATTTCATAAGATTAGGTCTATTGTTACATCTCCATACAAGGTAAACAAAAAGATATAAAAAAAAAAAAAAAAAAAAAAAAAACAAAAGAGAGAAATAACTATTACAATAAGTGTAAATGTCATTAGTAGATTATTCATAATAGGCAAAAGTTATCAGAGGGGGTGGTTTTTTTTTTTTTTTTTTTTTTTTTTTTCAAGGGCTATTTTTCCCAACAAGAAGGTTCCAACAGGTTTCAAGGTCCTGACTCTTGGTTGACAAATCAAAATCCAAAAAAGTCAAAAATTCGGCCTCCATCCGATCTAGGTCCTCAACTTGCAAGATCGTCACAGATGTAGCTGAGGGAATAGTTGACAACATGGATGTGGGCTTAGCTAAGGGCGAGGGGGTGGGCGTAGGCGTGGGCGTGGGCGAAGGTGAAGGTGAAGGTAAAGCTGTGAGCACAGAGTCAGGGTCTGATTTTTTATAGTCAACAGAAGAATCAAGGTTCAGTGCATCACTTGACAGAATTGGTGGCGGTGGCGGTGCCTGATTTGGATTCAACAGGCTTTGTGGATTAAAAAATGAACCAAGACTCAAAAGTCGAGCCCACTCATAGTTTGAAAAGATAAGTTGTGCGCGTGACCGGGCTTCGTCGATCCTCCGTTCAATCATGCTCAGCGCCTTATCACTCTGGTTTACATCTACACCTGCAGGAATGTTGTGTTTGCTGTTGTTGCTGAAATCATCATTGATTTCATCATCCCCATATCCATTCCTGCTCAACTTCAGCGCCAACTCTAAATCTTTGCTCTGGTCTACTGCTGTTGCTGCCGCTATGATGTGATTATTATATTCCTGCAACAGGGCTGCGAGCTCGACACTGCAGCGGTATTTTGCAGCAAGGATATATGCAACCAAGAATAATCTCTGTGAGACTCCTGCCTCTCCTTTGGCATCGGGATATTTCTATTTATTTGTTTTGGAGTAAATAAAAAGAGGAAACCCATAGATTGATTAGAGTAAGCACTTTTTTCAATGACTGAAACAAATAATGCATTTTTTTTTTTTTTTGAAGGTGCATTCAGTCATAAACATTCAGAAGTGCCGGAAAAAAAAAAAAAAAAAAAAAAAAAAAAGGATCACTTACAGCTTTCAACCGGTCCACGTAAATGAGTGCAAGAGTAAGCGTCAGATTTGGGAATGGAATTTGAACCAATGGCAAAGTAGGATTTGGAGTGATCGGACTTGAAGGCAGAGCCGCGTTAGTGTTGTATAATCGCTGTCGTTTCTGCTGCTCTTGTGGCATATGACGATCTGTAACAAATGTCGGCGAAGTTGGAGTCGGTAGTTGATGAGTATAGGCTTCGGATGGATGGTCTAGAAGCACAGAGTCCTGATGTTGTTGCCATGAGGATTGTTGGGGAGACTGCAGATGTTCGAAACTCACTCTATCATGTGCCAAACCTTGTTGCCTCTGCTGCTGCTGCTGCTGCTGCTGTTGTTGTTGACGACGTGCATGGTGATCATTATAATCGGCAGAAAAGCGATGTCTCCGTGCCGATAGTGAGTTTGACTTGATGGGTCCAGGCCCTGTTGAGGAAGGTGAAGACGGCGAAGGCAAATCCCGATTCGCCCTAATACTATTAAAAGCATTACTGTATGTAGCAGCAGTATTTATTGGTCTGCAGTTTTGAATCTTTTGTTGTCGCTGTAATTCATGACCTCTTTGCTGTACCAATCCTGAATGAAGCGGGGAGCTACCAGAACTCAATGAGATGATGTGGCGGATAAAATTAGCCAAAGTTATGAGACGTGCAGCATAAACAGGGTTATCCCGATGCTGCTGTTGTCGTGCCTGCTGCTGATCGTCCAACTTCTTGGCGAAAGGGGATGCCCCTGTTGTTGTACGATCCTCCGAGGAAAAAGTCATGTTGATAGGCTCCCAGCGTGATATTGTCAGATGGGTTGAAAATGCTATGAATAGAACAAGTGAGAGAAAGATCGGAATATAGTCAATATAATTATAGTGAGTCAACGCAAATGAGAGGCGCAGCCTCGGGGCCAAATTACAAAAGTCGAAAAGTAAAAAAAGGTCTGTGCACAGCCCATCCCCCCCTTTTTTTTTTTTTTTTTTTTTGGATTAGCTCGATTAAGGGTGTTCAGACCACAAATGTGAGGGAAATAAAAGTGTGTCGCACACAGATGCACGAGATGGGTGAAAATGGATTGATTGAAAATATTTTAACGACTGATTTGCATGTTTGAGTCAAACACCTCAATGCCATCACTGTGCAACATTTGGGCTCCGAAGTGAGCACAACATTTTGGGCAAAAAAGAAAAAAAAAAAAAATTGTTGCATTAATTTCATAAAGGATACTTTGATTTGATGGATCCTTTACCTATTGTTCGATGATTGACCTTTCCGCTATCTTCGTCTTGTAGTTTCAGAAAGCTTCTCTCGATATCAGAGTTGTGGTTCGAGTATGCTCTCTGCCCTGCAGCTGAGCATGGTATACCAAACAGCGTGGGTGTAGCAGCAATTGGAGTCCACAATGAAGGACCCCTAATGCCTGCTGTATATTGGCTGTCATCAACAGTGTTCTCTGTGGATGTTTTATAAAGCGAAGGCAGTGGCGCCGATGTAGTAGTATTGTTGCTTTCTGACGACCGTCTTATAGGCCGCGAAAGCTGGGATGTAGTAATGGTAGGCCGCTTCTTCGGAGCGGCTTGAAGGTTGGCTTTTAATTGGGCAAAAATAAAAGAATGTCTTTGTTGCTCATTGTTGTCGTTGCTCCGCGGACCGGATTTTAGGGATGACGTACGATGAGCGTCGGGGTGCATCTGTGGTGCTTGCTGTGGCGGAGAAGGCGAGTGCTCTCTGATAGTATGAGATGTGACCTGTTGATGTTGCTCTTGTCGCTGGGGCTGGTCGTTATGATCATAATCAAGGGAGTTCTGCTCTGTATCAAGATGTGATGATTGCTCGATAGTCTTATAGGAAATGCAACCAGTGGTTGGGGCAGTAGCATGATGATCAATGCATGGATTTTGGGGATCGCAATGCAATATGTCTTGGCTACAATGTCGATGTGTTACTTGAGGATGACGACGATGAAGATTGTGATGATGGTGGTGATCAGTCGCTTTTGAAACTCTAGGGCTACCATGAAGACTACGAAGAGAATCACGACAGCTCGGCGACATGATTGGGCTAGTCAGTGAGGATGGTGGTTGAAAAGGGAAAAATGTAGATGGTGGTTGTTGAGTGCTAGAACAAACTACTGCCTCGATTTGTAACCTAGACGCTGAATGAGAAGGTGGGAGGTCTGACCTGCAAGACGAATTACAGCTGCTTTTATAGTGTCGTGGAAGATCCATCCTCTTTATAAAGGTGATGGTCAGCGAGATTAGACAACAAGGGGAAGGACCAGGACAAGGAAATGGCTGTAGTAATAATAGTCTGAAGGGGGAGAGGGATTGGAAGAATCAGTCTAAGCAATATGCAGACATGGATTAGAAAAAAGATTTGTTGAATTGATGACGGTAATAATGATTGGAGAAGAAAAGATGGAGCTTGATGATGTGTTGAGGTCAAGGTAAAATGGTCAAAGGCCAGTCAATAGTTGAGAAGAGAGATGTGCCCACGAAGACGAACCGAGAAGAACAAAAAAAAGTAGGGATGCCCCGTTCTATTTATTTGTTAGCTCAATGTGGAAAACAATGGATGATTCCAGCTGGGCGGGGGTAAAGAAGAAAAAAAAAAAGGGTGCGAAGAAAGAATGCATATTAGTTAGAGCAAGACAATCCTTAAATAGTAATAATATATATAGATATAATACATTTGAAATAAAAAAAAAAACTTTTGCCCTTTTTTTTCTTTTTACTTTATTTTAATAATGCCTCGTTAAAAAGGTAGGCTTGTTATTATATATAAATATTCGTATTTATACCTTTTACGTATGTATATATATATATACAATATAAATGTATTATATTTATCATCAATAGAATTTAGGAAGTGGTGGCGTTGCATAATATCCATTAACCTGTTGTCCATCTGTCCAATAAGGAATAAATAAAACAAAAAAGCATCTTTTCTCCGCGGGGATATGGCCGTGCAGGGAAAAAATTGAAGTCGCATAGCCATTCATTCGTCCACCTAAAAGTCACCTTGTAGACTTGGGGGGGACCAACAACGTACCTCCCTTTTTTTTTTTTCTTTGCTCTCTCTGTCTTCTATGGTAGTTATCGATCAAAGCGAGTTGTTCAAGCTTGGGAACCAGTGTTCTCTCTGTTTATTACGAAATATTGCGCATCGCCGATCTTACTAGGTTCTTTTTCGTTTTTTTTTTTTTTTTTTTTTTTTTAAAAAAAAAATTGTCCTGAACATCATGAATAAAGAAATGTACAGTTCCTTGCAAGGCTGAGATCAGCAGCGGAAGCATTAGTGTTAGTAACACCGAAGAAGTTTGGAGTTGCTCGTGTAAGACTGTGGGAAGTAAAGTTTTTTTCAAATCACTGTAGTCTTCAATTCCGACGTTACGAATGGTTCCTCAAGTCTCGCAAGAATTCAAATAACGCCGCATTCAACAACGTCACCTATTGGTCTCTTACTGAATAAGGTCTTTGCACATGACTGCCTGTTGTAGTTGCATAAGGCATACAAACGCGACTCATTTGTTAATCTATTCTAGATCCTAGCGTCCTAGCATCCTAGGAAAAAGAAAGGCCATTACCTACTCTTATTAGTGTAGATGCCCCGGTTCGATGCTCCAGTCATGATATTCTCCAATTCATTCCCTTTGATCGGGCTGGACATACTATTCAAGTATAATTACTTCATCTATTTCTAGTTTCCTAACATCCTATACATTCTTCTCTGCTTACTGCGCGCTCTATTGTTTTCTATTGCAGCAGCAGTTGCTGTCGACTCTATAAAAAAAAAAAAGGAAACAATCGATGACATATTCCTTTTTTTTTTTTTTTTTTTTTTTTTTTGAGCAAAAAAAAAAAAATTCAGCCTGCTTTCAATAGAAAGTATCTTTTTTATCTTCCTCGGAGAGAAGAGGAAGATGCGTACGATATCAGTATCGGGAACACTGTGTCATTGTGTACATGAGTCAAGGCTGATTTCCTCCATATGACAAAGATTATGGCCTTGCTTGAATAAGCTGAAGGCAGGTCCTTGTTCCTTGAACAAGAGTTGCAAGATATAACAAAAAAAAAAAAAAAAAAAAAACTATTTTCATTTTTTTTTTTTTTGGATTTCTTTTTTAGTTTCTTCTTCTGAAGAATCTGAATCGTAAGTCATTGCTAAAGACGACGATTAAAAATCGGATTGCATAATCAAAAAAAAAAAAAAAAAAAAAAAAATTTAGTGACAGCTAAACCACCCACCCACAGAGCATTGAGCAGGCACAACAGTTGGTGATTATTATTATTTATTGGAGCATGCATACTGTTCCACTCCTCCAAGCAAAAAAAGGTTCTGTACAAACTCTTGTACATGCACATCGATATTTATGGTGCTTCACTCTCAAGAGATCGGTTCGAGAGTATGTCACGTTTTTCTTACCTGAGGAATTTTGCTTTTCTGGAGTACTGGAGTGTCCGTGTGGTCCAAACATTGTGGATACGTACTATAACATCATATATTTATACCATCATGCATCGATTAGGATTTACATCAATCATGTCACTCAAGTTCCCTTGAGAAACCAGTAGGCGAATCTAGATGGTATCTGATAAATCAAAGACTTGGCCACTTTATTTTATTTTTTTTTCTCATCGTGTGCCTTAAATACACACAGTCCCCCAACCAATGCTTTCACTCACGCTGTTTATTATTATTTTTTTTGCGCTAGTTTGTTTACATGAACATGCTACTGTACCTTCCAAAAAAAATTAAATTAATATAAATAATCATGAAAAACGCATGGACGGAAAGCTCTCACGGGCCTTGAACGATCAACCCATGGCACATTATCATTGTCAATGACAGGGGTGTCTCCATTAATTTGACATGCATGCATCCAGTTACATTTGTATACTTGCGCACTCGAGCATGTAATGCTGTACACATTACAGACATCGCACATAAATGCCATTTGCACAAACATCATCGTTGGCGTGCATGTGCTTTCATCACATCAACCACATTGATTTTCTCCACACCTGCTATCACACTATTCTCACCACACTATCCTCACAGTTGACGCCCCTTCTCACACTTCCGAGGAAAGAGAAAGAGGTAGAGAAAGAGGAGAGAGAGAGAGAGAGAGAGAGAAGCTCCAGACACTTTACGCGTCTTTTTTCCTTCTCTTCTTTCTCCTCCTTTTCATTACATTCTCACGCGCTCGTTCTTCCTGCTCTTCTTTTTTTTTTTTTTTTTTTTTTTTTTTTTTCTCAATTGATTCAACTCATTTCACATTCTCAAGCTCTCTCCATGACAACTGTTATTGCATCGCCCAAGCCCGTCTCAGTCTCGGGACCTCGTGTGAAGGTGGAACGCAAGACCTCGATGTCTTCTTCTTCTTCTTCAACTCGTAACGCCTCCACCTCCCCTTCGGCTTCGGCTTCTACTTCTGCTTCTGCTTCTGCTTCTGACTCGGCCACATCTCCTAAACTTGCATCACGCTTGCCTTCCAATCAGCGGTTTTCGAATATTCAATCAAAAGTTGGTTCATTAGAGCAAATCCATTACAAGCCAAAACCTTCCGAGAAGAAGATCCAATCTTTTGGCAAACAAGACTTTTCGCACATTAAGCCTAAAGTCGATGCCAAATTAGCTCTTCCTACATCCATTCCTGTCGATTCAGGAACATCTGCAGGTGAAACTCACGACAATGACACATTGGCCCCTGCACCTACAAAGTCTTCTATCTCCTCTAGAAGAGCTTCTGCTAGTGCTAGCACAACTGTACCTAAACTTCCTCCATTCGTTGTCACTACCGGCCTAAAAAGTACAAGGGCTACAGCGAACGAACAACAAAAACCCCTTTCTCCTACTGCGCGGCCTTCCACAGCAACAATAGTAACAGCAACAGCGACAGCTACCACTGGGGCCACAACCTCAATAGTTAGTGCAGGAGGCGTTACGCCAAAGCCATTATCTCCAAATAATTCTCGAAGAAGCTCAGCCCCGGCTGGTTCTTCTGTGGCCAGTCCACCAAAGTCGCCTACTAGTCCCACCCGTCGAATCTCCAAACATATTATCCCTACTCAAAAGCTCGTCTATGACCATGTCAAGTCCAAGGTCGGCTCGTTCGACAATATTGACTATAAACGTGGTCGCGCCGCAAGTCAAACGTCTGCTGGCAGTGCAGATGAAAACGATCCCAACTACAACAACAGCACTCGCTCTCGCTCTCCCAGCGCAAGGTCTTCCACATCCTCGAACGGTACTTCTTCCACTAGTCCAACAACAACCACTGCCAGTCGACGGTCTTCTTTCAAAATTTCTCCTCCGAAAAAGGTGGATTATTCTAAAGTCAAATCCAAGGTGAACAGCTTGGAATATATTAATCACACTCCACAGGGAGGTAATTTGCGAATCTTTAGTGAAAAGCTAGCTTTCCGAGAACAGGCTCAAGTATGTTTTTTTTTTTTTTTTTTTTTTTTTGGGTGTGTGTGTGTGTATGTATGTGTTTGATGCTGGCTGTTGGGCAAAATGCTTTTATCAAATCAAATCGATAATTTATTTTGCTGGAGGCAGAAGTACATGTACATGTAAATATTGCCCGCCACATCAATGATGCACCCCTATTTTTTTTTTGTGATGTTTATCACCATAGTCTTCTCAACTTACAAATTGTGCATTTTTGTTTGTGTATCAAATAGTCCAAGATTGCAAAGGAGATCAATTCTGTGCAGATTCATGATTATTCTCGTGAAAACTCTATTCAGGAAGAGCATGAGCATGCGGAAATGGACCACAACTCAGTGGAGCAGGAGCATGCCCAGAATCAGGATGGAAGCATAATCTATAGTTCGGATATGGAGCATGAAGAGTTTGAGCCACCCAAGAATATCCTCTCAGTCTTGGATGAAGTGGTTGAGAATGTGGACGGACTTGAACTCGATGGTTACCAACAACAGGAACAAATGTTTGCACAACCAAATAACGCACAGGGTGCGCAATCGGAGCCTGTCGTAGTCTTGTGAAAAAAAAAAAAAAAAAAAAAAAAAAAGCCTAACTTTAGGTTCATATCATTCATAGCAAATGCACATTCCTCTGGGTTATTTGAGCTGGTTTTCAACTAACGTAAATAAAGTTTTTTTTTTATGATGATATTCAATGAATGAAATGCGGACTGTAAAGTAGCAGAATTGCAGATACAGTTAAAAATGACAATTAAAAAAATGTTTGCTCCTTTGCTGTTTTGCTATTTGACTTTTTTTTTTCTATGTACTTTTATGTTTCAAACAACTAAGACAACGCTATTTGACACCGAAACCCTCGGATTCGTTCATTGCTCGCAAAAGCATGTTCTTCAATTTCTCTCGTCCCTTATAGTTATACAGACACAGCTGGTTAAAACATGTGTGTGTGGTCGGATATCGATTTGAGTCGTGGCTTCCCATGCATGTAATCTTGAACGACAGGTTTGCAATACCCGTCGCAGGATATCGGTCAGAAGCTGTAATGAACTGTAGCAATCGACGCTGGTTCTTGTCTTCAAACTCCTTGAAAATTGACCAAAAGTTTCTATTAAACAATGAACAACACCAAGAGAAAATATGAGTGCCTCAGCTCCCACTCGTATTCCAAGACGCTTAACCAGGATAGGACAAACAGAAAATTAAGCAAATACTCATTAGCCCATAGACGTACTTGATCACGTCGTGCTCATCATTAAATCCTTCATATTCAGTAACAGATCTCAGTTGGTCAATATCTAATGGCTCTGCACTTCCTCGGACTAATGATTCAATTTCTTCAGGTCGGAACAACGAGAGGGCATGTCCACTACACACTAAATAAAAACCACGACGGAAAGATTCAAATTGCTGAAACGACAATAAAAAATATGCAAGGGAGTCCATGTTAACAATGATGAATTAACAGATTTGAAAGTATGTATAGCATAGCCACTTAGAGCTTTGATCCAAACAAAGACATACATCTGAAATACTCGTGTTCATCACAAAATTCGCGTATCGTTCCACGTAATCGCGCTTGTTCAGGCTAGTAACGGGGATATCTTCACCATTGGGTATCAGGGGAACTTCTACACTCTCTCCATAGGCCTCATATACTCCAACAAAATTAAGGCAAAAGACGTCTTCTACATCATCACCATCATAATTCAGCAGTTGATCGAATCCTTTTGCCAGATCCTATAGTAAAACACAAGTCAGCAAAGATAGTTGTGGTAGGCATTAGTAATATTTTTTCGAGAAAAAAAAAAGAGATCAAAGAACCAAATTAAACTTTTTTTTTTTTTTTTTTTTTTTTTTCCTTTTTATCTTACAGGTCGGAAGTTTGCAAGATCTTCGAGGGCAACAGGTGTATTCAGAAGCTTCTTGTAACAAGCCAAAGGGAGAGGAAGGTCCAAAATAGTGGAATTGTAAATCGCCAAGCCTATAACAACTCCCACAAGGTAGAATTGATCTAGAGACTCAAAAGAGGCTGGGTTGAACCAGCATTGTGACGAGTGATCATCATACACAAACATGCCTAAGTGGTCGGAGTAAGTGTAGTAGCGGTTTTTTAGTAATTGACTAACCTTAGAATATACTCAATCTGCACGTTTAGCTAATCAAAAATTTAACATACCATACTGAGGATCAAACAGTTGCCGTACAAGGAGTAAAAACCATTCTTTCCGAAGACCTCCCGCATCGACGCCATCCTCGCCAATAAATTCGATACGAAGTGATTTATCAAGGTCCCTCTCATTCCGTGATAACTATAAAAAAGCCCAGCACCATGATATATGAACACAAAAAAGAAAAATCAGATCAAGAGGCCTGGTTCTAAACACCTCTAAAAATGACATAAACTAAAAAAAAAAAAAAAAAAAAAAAAAGCCCCTACCTGCGTGAGAGACTCCTCTATAAGATTATTGCGATGAACCTTAAGGATGAGTAGCGGTGCTTGCTGCAGCTCTGCCTGAGTCAGCGAGACTACTCCACTGATTTCCCCATTTTCTGCTGCCCTAAGTCGTTTCTGAGCAAGTAAAGCCTCAATAGTTTTTTGCATCTTGATCTCCATTCGTCGTTTTGCATCCCATGCCATAATCTGCATCTTTGCGCCCATTGAGATCAGGAACGGGTACTGACAGAAAGAAAACATTCTATATCGGTTGAAGATGAGATATGGTTAGAATCAAGTACAAAAAGAAAAAAAAAAAAAAAAAAGTCCAAAACACGCAAATACATACGCCGACCGATTCTCCCATGCGACAAAATCTGTAGGAAGGTCGATGAGATCGACAATCATGTTGTAATACTCATCGATTGGGATTTTCTGTGATTTTGATGCGGCATCACGCGAGTAAGGGACAATGACTAAATCGTTTGTAGATCGGCTCTTTCCATTAGCATCAAGCAAATCCCTCTCATTAGGTTGATTCGCTTTGAAGAAGAGGTGCATAACCCTTGCAGCAGCCATGATCCGTGCATCGCTCTGATAAATTATATGTTGGTGTCGATCTGTTGACTTTTGTTGATTAGAAAGCCGCTGTGTGATGAACTTGTTGATAAAATTGATTCGATTATGGAAGATCTGGGTCGACATGCTATAACACCGTTCATTAATTGATTGCAAAGCTTGTTTAGAAGTTTCAATAGCATATACATGTAAAAAAATAAAAAATAAAAAAACATACTTTGCAAACCAGCTTGACAAATGCTCATGCAGGTCACTGGGAAGGTTGCTAATGATCGTAAATAAACGTTTGGTGATATTATGGTGATAATCTGATTCTTGTGGTGTCCTGTGACGAGAAAGCCAAGGGCACTAGGATTTATCCAAGGGTCATTGCGATCATCATGGTCATTAGCTTGTCAAGTATCATCATAGACTTCAGAAACTAGAATATGAATATAGCAGATCTTTACCTCAAACATGATCATAATGAACTTGAGATCTTCCTTATCTTTGAGTTCTCTATTACCAGAACGCATAACCATCAAATCCCATACAATTCAGCATTATGAGGAAAAAGAAAAAAAACTCATTCACTCATATTAACAGGGACATACTTTCCAGGACGCTTTAGGATCGCCTCCACAGATGTCATAACAGCCAACGCGATTGAATTCGGCTATGAGGATTGATGTACATAAAAACAAATTGACAATGTAAGAAACTTTGATTAAAGGAAGTATATAACAGTATTGGATCCCATAACACAGGAAAACATACCATAGCAACCAGAATTGAAAAGGCTTTCCTAGCTTCTTCAAGATTCACTCCGCAATGTTCATGCGTAATTGGACGTCCCTATCAAGTGTGTAAAAACGAGATCATATCATTTTTTAAGCATAGTCAGTCCCATTTGATCATCCTGAGTGTATCCTACGGCGCCGACTGTAGTGATGAATATTCAACTGTATTTCAAGGCACCTACGCTGCTGAAACTGGCATTAAACGCTGCAAACTTTTTCAACTTTTCCCGCAAAAGCGCTTCGAGATTAGTGTAATCTAAATCGCCTCTTCTTTCGCGCTGAATAGCCTTAGCTTTCTCGATCTCCCGCTCGATCTGCTGCAACGTGAGAGGTTCCTGTGGAACTATATGATGGCGTAAGCAAGTCGGCATGGTCAGTGAAAAATTAAAATAGTTTCATAGCCAATATTTGGTTGGTTGACCAAAGTGGTTGGGCTGTGTGTACCAGCCCACAAGACCAGCTGAGCCAATTTTTTTTTCCCTGCTCGTATAGACATTATCTAGGCTAGATTCAAAATAAAAGCATTGTCCAGTATCTGATGAGTTGTTGAGACCTGCTTGTTGTCCCTGTCTAACAAATCCTGGCGTAACAATCCTGGTCTAACCAATCCTGGTCTAACCAATCCTGGTCTCTCCTCTTCTAGGCTTGCAAGTAAACTTCAAAGATCGTAATCCTCATGACGTACCAATACCGGGAGCAGGGATGAGGTCGTTGATTGTGTCGCATGTGACGCATTGAAAGACTTTGACTGCCTGTGGATAGCAAAGCTGACTAGAAAGATATATATATATATAAAAAAGAATAGGTATCAGAATGCCAAGAAATACAGAGCTATCATTCGTCGTGCAGAAAGGGCATTAAGAATTTGCTCCAAGGTCTAACCTTTTACAATACATGCATTTGCCAATGATCTACCATGCAATGAAAAAAAAAAAAAAAAAAAAAAAAAAAAATCCTCCAAGAACTATTAGTCAATAAACCTCGAGTTTGACTATCCTTTTTTTTTTTTTTTTTTTTTTTTTTGTTATAATGGGTTTGTGCCATTGACTTAATATAATGTGTGCATGTGTAATGGTGCAATGATGTCGTACCAAGTGACTTCCTTGATTCTCATAGGACGGAGTGGAGGAGGGTCGAGGAGGCGGTGTATGCTGTTGGCTCTGCGCTCCCGAGAGGTATGCATAGGGCGAGTAGCCTTGACTAGCCATATGCTCTTTATTGTGTATGAATGTAACCCTGCGAGAAAGAATGCAAAAGGGAACAGATGACAAGAGGCAAGGAAAAGAAATACCCGAGGCGAGGCAAAAAAAGAGAAAAAAGGGAGAAAAGTAGAACAGAGAGAAGAGTCGAAAGGAGAAAGAAAATGTGAGAGTAATGAAGGGAGAGGCGGGAACAGGTCCAGGACTCAAAGCCTAGGAGACAAAAATTCGGTCATGGAAAGAGTGAGGACCTCTTGCCTAGTTCATCCCACACACAGACATTCAGGAAACAGGGACAGGGACAGGAACATTATCTGGTATGCACCGCTCGCGCAACAATAAAAACGCTCATTCCTGTTTTTTTATTTTTATGAATAATGGACTCTTGGGTTCCCTTCCAAGGAACAAAAGGAGGGCGTAGTGAACAAACTGTGTTTTGTATCTTCAACAATCGGTCAATTCAGAATATGTCTCCATTGCCAGAGTTTGAAACATCCAGAACACCCATTTCACATGGTGGACACACTGTAATAACTGTGTGCAAGTAGTTACTTTGAGATGTCTTCGGTTCTGATCGATGATTGATACTTCTGATGGAAGTAGACCCTGCCTTAATTGCTCTCTCCATGTTCCTTCTCGTTAATATTTTTATGTTATTGTTTGTCAGCAATTGCGGCCAAATGTATATCCAACCGATACATTTCGAACTACGACATTTTTTAACGATTTGAAATCCTACGTCGTTTCTGGGAATATAAAAAAGAAAGTCGCTAAAGAAAGTCTTGTTTCATAATTACATATTATATCCCCAGAGCTGATTCTTTTTTGCCTGTTATTCTCCATCCATTTCTTCTCACGTCCCCAAAATTCCCTTTTATTATTATAATTATCATCAGCCATGCCTTCTTCCAACACCTCCATCATCTATCTCAAGCACCCTACCGAATTCCCCGTTGTAGGTGAACATTTTGCTGCCAAGACTAACAACGATTTCAAACCTGTCCTCAAGGATGGCGAAGTCCTTACACGTAACCTCATCATTTCGCTTGATCCTTGTAAGTCGATGTCTTTGTAACGGACAGCCTTTACTCCGTTATATTCTGCTAATGGTTTACTGGCAGTTCATCTGGTCAATATCCTCAGATCTCTGACTATAACCTCTATACTCTTTTCTTCGTTGATTTTGCTTTCAATAAAATAAAGACATGCGTGGCAAGATGAGAGATGCCAGTAAAAAGTCGTATAGTCCTGCATTTGAGATTGGCCAGCCGTTAGATGCTCGTGGCATTGCTGAAGTGATCGAAAGCAAGAATGAAAAATATCCCAAAGGCTCTATCATTCATGCATTTATCGGCTGGGAGGAGTACACTATCTTGCCTGATCTTCCCACGACCCGTATCATCCCTGATGCTAGAGAATCCAAATTGCCCTTATCATCCTACGTTGGAGTCTTGGGCATGCCAGGTATGTGGAACAACATTATAAAAATTTTCCCATGAAAATCATTTATCTACGTCATCTTGTCATCTTTGCTAAACCTCTATATCATTTACCAGGCCTCACTGCATATTCTTCATTGAAGGATATCGGGAAACCCAAAGCAGGCGAAACTATCTTCATCTCTGCTGCTTCAGGTGCTGTTGGTCAACTTGCTGGCCAACTGGCCAAAGCTTGGGGCCTTACCGTCATCGGATCAGGTCAGTGCTCCCACTCAAATGCCCTCGTTTTCTACATGAATATGATAATAACAATAATAATAGAATAATAATAAATAAATAACATTGGAACTAATCTGCATGCCATCCATCTAATAGCTGGATCAGATGAAAAGGTGGACTACCTACTCAAGGAGGTTGGGTTTGACCATGCCTTCAACTATAAGAAGCGCACTGCTCACGATGCGCTCAAGGAGTTGGCACCCAAAGGTATCGACATTTACTTTGAGAACGTAGGAGGCGAAACCTTGGAGGCTGCCTTAGACAATCTGAATACCCATGGACGCATCATTGCTTGTGGCATGATCTCTCAATACAATACTACGAATCCATATGGTATCAAGAACTTGATGCAGGTAGTCTCGAAGCGTCTAACCATGCGCGGTTTCATTGTTGCGGATTTCTATGAACAATACTCCGAAGATTTCTTCCGTGATGTCAAGGAAATGTTACTCAAAAATGAGATTGTTTACCGTGTCGATGAGGTCAATGGGATCCAGGCTGCTCCTGAGGCCTTTATCGGGCTCTTGCAGGGAAAGAACTTTGGGAAGCAGGTCGTAAAGATTGCTGATTTGTAAAAGGTGCAAGAGCCAGATAGTTGGAAGATAGAAAGCAGAAGACTTGACGAAACATTAAAGACGAATGCTCGACATCATGCACCTCATAATAAAGACAGAGTCCCTTATTTCACTAAGTGCCACATACGAGTCACTTTGTCTAAATGTCGACTAAACAACGCGTAAATTTTGCATATGTGCCTCATCTTAGTCCTCGCTCTTCTTATAAAACATTCTATCACGCAGCGTTCAACATTTCCTTCCAACCTTCCAATAGTTCTCATCCTTGGCCTTGAGCTTATAAATACCAGTTTCCAGGCAAGTGATCTATGTCCGGCAATCTATGAATTGCATCATTTACCACCAATATGGAGTATCGCTTTGAGGGGGCCATCCTACACCCCACCCAAGCACGTCCATCAGGCAATAGTACAATCTCACCCAGCTCACTATGTTTAAATACTCGCGTGCTCGAGGATGACAAATGGCAAATCATGATACTTTAATTTATAATACACCCAAGTGAAAGCAATATGACCACCCTGATAGCTCTTAATGCGATTTACCAAAGGCTACTTTTACAGTACAAGACGAGGCTGGTCCATGCAAAAAAAAAAAAAAAAAAAAAAAAAAAAAACTGCTTAGAAATGCACCCGATAAAAGAAATTACGCCAAAGTCACCAGATGTTATAGCACCTCGTACCACTAAGAAAGTGAAGAAAATGCAGCGTCTCACCGATCGAGCAACAGTATAAAAGTTAGCTCAGACTTCATATTTTTAAACGCTTTAGCAATAACAATATCAACAATAAAAACAGCAAAAAAAAAAAAAAAAAAAAAAAAGTAAAGCTATGGTTAAAGCAAACAATCGAGCTATTGTTTTCCTTAAGCCTCCAACGGAGTTTCCTCTTCCTGGGAAACATCTTGGTATTGAGTCACAGGAAGTAGATGATAAACTCAAAGAGAATGAGGTCCTGACTCGTAACCTTGCCCTTTCCCTTGATCCATGTAAGCTCCATGTCTTTGGAGCCTGAACTGCCCTTCAACATGATACAATCGCCTGACAGTTATCTTTTACATTTTTACTAAAAAGATCTGAGAGGGAGGATGAGCGGTCAGAAGGCTGATTATCTTACTTGGTTCAAACCTGGGCAGACAATTGACAGCTACGTTGTCGGTGAGGTGATCGTATCCTGCCGATCGACCTTTGAGGATCGTAGAGGGTGCACGGGAATCTACGCTCCCTCTTTCATATCATATTGGTGTTCTTGGCATGCCAGTAATTGAACTTTTTTTAAACATGTGTTACAATTCAACTCCGTTGGAGAATGACTAAATTGACTCAATTGACTGAATCCATCTTTTAATACGATTTTATTTAGGGATTCACTGCCTATGGTAGTCTCCTCGAACTTGGTCAGCCCAAGGCAGGTGAAACTATCTTCATTTCGGCTGCATCAGGTGCTGTGGGCCAATTAGTCGGCCAAATCGCTAGGCGTTTCGGACTTCGTGTGATTGGCAGTGCCGGTTCCGATGACAAGGTCCAATACCTTTTAAACGAACTCAAGTTCGATGCTGCGTTCAATTACAAGAAAGTCAACAAGTCCATTCTCGAAACTCTGCGTGAATTAGCTGGGCCAAAGGGGTTTGACATTTATTATGATAATGTTGGAGGCGAAACTCTAGAGGCTGCGATCGAGGTTATCAATAAACATGGTCGGATCATTGCTTGTGGTCATATCAGTGATTACAACTCTACTCAACCTTATGCGGTAAAGAACCTGTACAAGATCATCGTCAAGAGTCTCAAGGTCCTAGGATTCATGGTCTATGACTTTTCGACCGAGGTCCGCGTACGCTTCGAAAAGGAGGTCACCCAATGGCTCCTGAATGGCGAGATCATCTACAAGGAGCATGTCACTGTGGGTCTCGAAAACACCCCTGAAGCCTTTTTGGGATTACTTCAAGGGAAGAACTTTGGAAAAGCGGTTGTCAAGATCGCTGACCTGTAAAAAGAATAAAGTCTGCTTTTTTTTTTTTTTTTTTTTTTTTGTAAGGGAAAAAGCCCATGATGGTGGCGTGGGAACTGGGTTCCTAGACTAAGTTCAGCCTCCTCTCTTCCCGAATATATTTTATTTTATTTCTCGTGTAAAGAGCAAATTAACATGTGCTGCGCTATTTCTTTTACTGCGAGTGCGCCAGTAAAAGAAAAATAAAAAAAGGCTATCTTCTTCTGTTGTTGATCAAAGTAACCACTCCTGCGCCAATCGCTATGCCAGTGGCCAAAATGGTTGCATTTGAAGAATTGGATCCTGACTTGAACCAAGCAGAGATGTTGAAAGGTGAATGTGTGGCCCACTTGGGCAATATAATCGCCTCTCCTGCTTGTCTATTTTTACCTGCCCACTCTGGGCCTAGCATCTCATGTCTCATTCCAGGCAACCCATCCAAACTGTACGTATTCCTCGTTAGCCAATACTTCTTCATTGCCTCCCTATCTTTTTTTGCCCAATGATTCATCAGGGTGGGCCGTTCTCCACGGTAGTCATAGAAAGGTACTGCATATCCACAGGTGGTTCCGACTTTGCGAACATCCACCATGATGATTGCTCGTTTTCCATTGTTCTCATACAATTGTGAGCCTTTATAATGATCCTCCAGAAGTTGGTTAAATTCCGGTGTATCAAGGCGGACCACCCGGCCCGTACCAATCAGACGCAAAATACGAGGCCCCCCTTCAAAAGCAGCCATCATGAGCGTAATGCGACCATTTTCTTCCAGGTGACTCTGAGTTTCTATACCAGACCCTATTATTCAACAAAAGAAAGAAGGAAAAAAAAAAAAAAAAAAAAAAAGTTTATTCCGTTTCTTCGATCGAAAGAATCGTCATAGAAGCGATATTGAGGTATTGGAACATTGGAAAGAAAAAGAAAGAAAAAGAATAAAAAAAACTTACCTGACATTTCCAAATAGCAAGCTTGGTTAGGACCGAGGATACGCAGAGCATCGTGGCCCTTGGGCGATGAATTGACGCAACCTTGGGCGTCCAAAGGCGCTGTTGCGACAAAGAAGATTTTTTGTTTCTTTATCCATTCCGCAAGGTCCTCACTTATACTTTCGTACCATTGGCCCATGTTGAATCTGAGAAAGAAGAGAGAGGTTTGTTGCGCAAGAGCGAATTAAAAGAAATAAAATAAAAAAAAATAAAAAAAAATAAAAAAAAAAAAGGGGGGATAGAAAATAGAATGTTGAGAAAACAAAAGAGAGAAAAAGGAAGAAAATTCCAGCCAGGGTTCTAAAATAAGAGAAGAAAAGCCAGAGATGACCAATGTTTGTTTTTGCATTTTGTACATTTTGTATCAACTGTGAGTGGGGAGATCGCCTTTTCGGGAATGAATGTTTGAATGGCTGTGCATTGCTCATAAATGTGTAAAATATAATTTGGAGTTGGATTACAATTGATCTGATTACTGAGATGGCACAGATCAGAAAATACAAAAGCCCAAAGCGTGAACATGACATATACTAGCCGTGTATTCTTCAGACTACCGGGCACAGCTACTGAGCGTGTAGGTTAAGTCTCGCCTCAAAATACAATACGGGTTCTTAGACCTTCAGCACCAAAAAACCAAACAGAAAAAAAAATAAAAAAATAAAAAAATAAAATAAAAATAAAAATAAAGTCAGAAACGTGTAATTGCCATTCGTAGACAAAACTTTTTTGTATTACAACTCTTCAAGTCTAAGGGTCTAAATAATGGTCTAATTGCCCAGAGCATTAATCTGTATATATCACATGTTTGGTTCTTTATCGACTTCTCTTGGTCCGAACCGGAATGCAAAGAAAAAAAGAAAAAGAAAAGAAAATCGACTTTTATTTTTATTTTGACTTTTTATCTTCATTTTGTATTTGTTTTTATTTTTTATGCGTAATAATCAAGAAACTGTTTGTCGCAATAGAGGGAATGAGCGAGATTGGAAGCATTGGAATAAACTTGCAAAGTCAAAATGCTTATTGCCAAAAGGCGCTCGCTGCAAGAAGCGCAAAATCCTGCTCATTTTGAGGTCATGGTCGGATAATTATTGTTGTTATAGTGTTTTATTCAGTTAGGCTAATTTTCAAAAGAGAAATGATTTGCAAAACACCCTGGAAAAATATCTGGATCCACCAGAGACTAAAGAGCCAAAACAGCAGCCAATCTGCTCTGTTGCTGTTAAGATGACCTCGCTTACATCCACCCACAATCACTCCAATGTGTCCTTGAAGATTGATGCTACATCACTATCATACAGTCCTCTGCTATTTCCTTTTCTTTTCTTTTTGTTTTTACGAAAATATTGCATTACCCTTTTCTTTGGAGGAAGAGTCCTTTCAAGGCCGCCACAAAGATATGAAAGACAGCCTAGACACACAGACGAAAAAAAAAAAAACGCGATGAGATCTGTGTCGTACAAATCAATTCAAGCTGATTGAAACACAATTCGCATTTTTTTATTCGATCACCAGACAAACCCACAGTGTTTAAACAAGATGCTAGTCTTAAACTATTTACTCTCCCCAAATGCATCAAATACATGCACAATGAACGCTTACCTTTGTGAACAAGACAACAAGCAACAACAATGGAAGAATACGAAGAAACAAAACGCGCTTTTGTAGGATTCTTTTTTTTTTTTTTTTTTTTTTCCTAACTGACCTCAATAGCCTTCATTCATCCAAACACATTCACAAAGGTTTTTCACCAGAGACGTTTGAGTACTACACGAAGGAACGACACCCTTACCTCATATTCTGTCTTATTCTCGCCTTGAAAGAAAAGAAAAAGAAAGAAAAAACTATAAAAGAAAGACTTCCCCTCCATAAATCTCATCAGCAACAACTAGCTAATCATTCAAGTAATCAGCTGCCTTAACTTCAATCTCTCATCTTTCTCACCACAACGCTCTCAAACTATCAAAGAAAAAAATAAAAGCCATGCGCTTCTCCATCCTTGCCAGTGTTATTGTCCCCTTTGTCGCTGCTGCCGTCTCGGCTGCGCCTGTCGCAAAAGCCCCTTACGATATAATGAACACGGCCTTGACTCTTGAGAACCTCCAGGCTGAATTCTACAAGCAGGGGCTCGCCCGATTCAATGATTCCGCTTTCACTGATGCTGGGTTTGATGTCAAGGTCCGCAACCGCCTCGCCCTCATTAGTGCTGAAGAAAATGCCCATGTCTCCTACTTGACTTCCGCCATTCAGAAACAAAACGGCAAACCTAACCCTCCCTGCACCTACAAATTTCCATTGGAGGATCTGACAAAGTTCCTGGCTACTGCTCAACTGTTGGAGAATGCTGGCACATCCGCCTACCTCGGTACTCCGGCTAACTTGTTACATTTGCCTAGTGAATTACAAAATGCCATTGCTGGTGTCACCACTGCAGAGGCTCGTCAAGCTTCGTACCTCAATGAGCTTTGGGGTCAGGTTGGTTTTCCCTATCCAATTGATACAGCCCTGAGCCTCAAACAGGCCATCACAATCGTCTCTACCTATATCGCCGAGTGTCCCTATGATATCGGTATCAAGCCTTACCCTGCCTTGACAGCTACCGTCCCCGAGAACTCGTACACAGTCACCACTAACTATGAAGGCAAGGATTCCCAAAACTCCAACAGTACTTATTGCCAGTTCTTGTGCGGAAGCAAGTCCGCTGTCTCCCCTCGCAACAACTGCACTCTTCCCGCTGATGCTGTCGGTTACACTTATGTCTTCGTTACCAGTGATGACACCCCTGTTAACGCCACCAGCGACAACGACAATATCTTGGCTGGCCCTACCTTGCTGTTCAGCGGCAATCACATTCACTAAATATATATATATACATGTGTATATTTACTTTTATCTCCAATTTGATGAACTGATGAGAGTTGGAAAATCTTCGCCTTATTACTGTCTACTCTGTTGTACAGAACCATCAACTAGTATTCCATAATAAAAATGTATTCATATAACTTTAATTGTCAAGTCGGGTGGACATAAAAATACAAAAGCGAACATCTAATTAGGCACCCATAATTCTCTTGATTCTCTTGATTCTCTTGAATGTGTGCATGTAACCTTTACTTCTAAACACCAACACCAACAGCACTTTCCCCTGCCTCGATCTTGTGTAGAGCCTCAAGAACTGGCACAGCAGGGCAACCATCGGGTGCAAAGTGAATAATAAAATCACCCTCCTCATAATACTTTGGAAATGTGTTCATAGTATGATCATCACGGTCAAAGAGATAAACCTTTTTTTTTTTTTTTTTTTTTTTTTATAACACAAGAATAAATAACAAAAAAAAAAAAAAAAAAAGACATATCATAGTCAGCAGAGTCGCAATTAAATTTATATAATAGATTGTAAATCAACAAACAGTGCCAGCAAAATATCCTTACCCCAGATGCCCACTCCGGCTCCTGCATCGTCTCCCAGATCGCTCCTTGCTCATAGCTCGGTGATCTGTTGTACCAATCCTTACGCCTCTGAACCTCACTCCAGAATCGATGGCTCCACTCCGTGTTCTTGATCAACATCACGCCAGCGTTGATCATTTTATCTTTGAGCGGCCTTGAAACAATCAGCCCGATGTCTTTGCCTTTACCCTCCTTCAGGCTTCGCTCCTCTGCAAGTTGGATAATCTCACGCACATCCTTATCCATGTTGGCGACAACAGCGTCCATATCCATCCAAAGAAGCCATTCGTAATGAGGTAGTGTCTTTTGAATTGCTCCAATCTTGCCCCATACCAGACGCCGATGTCTGAATTCCTCCTGTGCAAACTCAGCAGCACGAGCAACAAAATCATAGCCATGCTTAGCTGCATACGTTCGCTTATTCATTGCAGAGGGAAGGGATGCTTCGGCCATGCACATGTCCGCATAAATGTACGACGAGGTCAACACTGCAATACTCTTCTTGCGATCCTGATCAACAGCGCAAGGTAAAGTAGGCTGGATCATTAGCTTGGCTGCAAGTGGAGCCCAGTCTTCCTGCTGGAATACTTGTCCCACCACAGTGGTTGTTGCAGAGATCTGTCTAATGTCACTCTCCCAAAGTAAACCTTCATCCTTGGTGACTTTGAAAGCAGGCGGCGGGTTAGTGTAGTATAGGGTAGCCGCTGTGAATAAATCAGCCAGGTTGTGATCCTCTTTGATTGCATTGCGGTTCTTCAGTAGCAGCTCCGCCACCTGGAACGAAACCGAGGCTGCAAATTGCGTTGTCTTTTCTCCCCAAATGTGAATGAATCCATTAGGCCCTGCAGACTGTTTGGTAATAGCCTCTTCCATCTTTGGTAGATTGACGACCGTGGTTGAATCAAAGATTAAGACCTTATCAATCTTGATCTCTTCATTTGGAATAAATGTATTGACCTGAAATAAGGAAAAAAATGGATGTGAGATAATGCTGTTTCATTCTTTCTCATTAGCTTGACCCAAGATAAAAATAAAATAAAATAAAAAAAAGTATCCTTACAGCCCAGTCCAGTGCATCGCCCCAGATCGTATGTCGATTTGTTACAGTTTTATTGGTAAAATACCAGTCGTTATATTCCATAAATTCACTATAGAGATTCCGGACTTGACCTTGCATGAATTGGGCGCTGTGAATACCAGACTTGAGCCAAGTGGTACGACCATGGATATAAAACTTGTAGATGATCCTGCCATCGTATTTCTTACAAGGCTCCAAATTATTATGAATCCCAAACACAGTCTCACGTACCCATCGACGGTTCTGCATCTGAGTCCAGCTCGATGGAATCACAATCAGGGTATCGTACTTTTTGGACGTGTTAGGCGGTTGTGGCTGTGGTTGCAGTTGCTGCTGCTGCTGCTGCCGCTGTTGTTGTTGTTGTTGTTGTTGTTGTTGTTGCAGATCCTGCTGCTTTTCTATTATTGGTGGAGGTTTATATCCACCATATGGAGGTCTATATACATCCCGATCATCCTTATCCTCGGCTTGTGGATAATAAGACGAAAGTGTTTCCTTATGGCGCGTGGCTACGATTAGCAGGACGAAGATCGCAGCTGCCAACCAATAAATCTTTCGCACAGGCATGTTTGTGGAGTGAAATGTGGAAGAAAAGACAGAAATGGAGCAGACGAAATGGAAGGACGCAAATGACGAGAAAGAATGAAAAAGAATGAAGAATGAATGTAAGAAAGCAAAAAAAAAAAAAAAAAAAAAAAAGAAAGATAGAAGAGTAATGCTTTTTAGATTTGGGCTGGTTGGAAGTGGCACAATGGACAGTGCCCTCTTTATTTTTGTCCATGAAATAAATATAAAAAAAGTTTGCCCGTCGCTAGTGTCACCTGGCTGCTATACGATGATGTCCTAATGTTATACACATGCCCCATCCATATCTCTTTTGTTTTATATCCGTCTCTATTTTTGGTTTGTCTTTGTCATAAGCAACGGCTTCATCAGACCGAGCATTCCCTGCAATTCTAAAGCTCTGTCAGATTGAAATTGGATAGTAAACTACCGTAGATCTATTCAATAATCACATTTGTAAAGCCAAGTTCTCTACTACTGTTTTTATCTTAATTTATTATAAAAGGGATAAATTCTACCGACTCCATAATCTTACTGTCGAGTCTTGGCCTCCTGAAATGATAACAGAGTCATTGAACCGTACGCTTTCCACCGTATTAGTGTGCCCAGTGTAATACGAATGCTGCTGTGATACTCTGTCATAAATCTATTCAAGTGATGGAATAACCATTGTATTAAATAAGCAGCTGGCATTGCAACACCATCCTAATGAACTTTTTTTTTTTTTTTTTTTTTTTACCTTGAGACTCTCTCCAGATCCAATAGTAATTTTAGAGGCGTCGAATTGCAAGCTCCGTACTGGATCATCATACTGCAAAATTTCCTGAATAGCTCCAGTCCTGAGATCCCATATCTAGAGCGATCAATGCAATAAAATGGTCAGAGTCATACTAGCCATTAGCTTGTTGATAAAGAAAAAAGAAATAAAGGTAAGTAAATATGAAATTATACATACCCGCACGCTCCTATCCATACTTCCACTGACTACATGATACTCATCAAACTGCAAAGACGTTATAGGGCCAGTGTGACCAGCTAGCGTCCTATGCGATTGACCTGTTCGGACTGTAAAGGTATCATCAGAAGGAACAAAACATGAGCTTTCTAGGTTGTAAAACTATCCATTATTAAATCATAACCATCATCTCACTTACGATCCCACATGCGGATAGCTCCGTCAATGGTTCCACTGCAAAGCGCACACTGCCAGAACTGAAGACCCCCGACATAGCTCTGATCCGGTGTCTCAGTCATCCAGTCCGACCATGTATTTGAAGTGCCCATAGCCCAGAGAAGATCCATAGTTAAAACACATTGACCTGTGGTCATGTCCCATTCTTTAATTGTCTTGTCATTCGATCCAGAAAGCTATTTCAGTTATTAATGAATAACGAGAGACATAACGAGCCGGAAAGGGTTGGCAAAGCGAGCATATTTATATCGCTACTTGACCACAAAAAAAGAGGAAAAACTAAAAAGAACACTGATCTATCAAACTTACCAGTTTTTCATCCTCATAGTACAGGCATGTCACATGTCCAGTATGTCCGACGAGTGTGCTTGTCCAACAACTGTTCAAGACCTCAACGGTCTCTATTGATGACCGTGAATAGTCCTCACTTTCCATATCAGCCGATTTTCCGTTGATATGGCCGGAACGAATACTAGACTCGGACGGTGAGGGTGATGATGATCGAGAGTTATGACGAGCATGATTCAGATCTGCCAAATTCCATGTCCTGATTGTATTATCTCTCGATCCTGTGACCAACGTGTGCTGAGCAAGTTGCATACATTCTACATAGTCCTCATGTCCAGGAAGTTGACCAAGACATTTAAAGGTTGTCAGATCCCACACACGTGTCGTCTTGTCCCTCGAAGCTGTTACCATAGTTCCATAGGGTCCGTTCAAATCAAGGCTAGTAATGATACCATCGTGCCCATAGAATGTATGCATGCAGGTCCCAGAATCCCTTGTCTCTTGTCTATATTCCAATTGAAGAGCTATACGTGCAAATGCAAAGAAGAAAACAGTCATTATACCAGGACAAAGCCTTGCATCAATAAATGAAGATCCGTGCATGAGTTATGATGCTTCGTGCTTACATTCTCCTTCTCGATGCTTGCTCGTTTCTGATATGGACGCCAGCTTGTCGTTCAGTTCTGCCACTATAATGAAATAGGATCAAGATCGATGTATTGGTTCAGCGAGAGTAAAAAAAAAAAAATCCGACAGCAGAAATGCTTATTCATCTATTCCTAATGCAAAGCTTACATGTATCAGCGAGATCATCTTCACGCTCGGTCAGCTTGCTTAGTTTGAATCCAAGATTCGCTTGCTTGGCTTGTAGAGTCTCAATGGAGGCAGTGATCTGGTCAATTTCCGACTGGATTACGGTCTTTTGTGTCTGCAACTTAACTTGCTCTTTAATCGTCCGCTCTCGCTCGCTCAACAATGAGGAGAATGCTTTGTTGGGATCATCTTCATCCACCTCCCCAAACCCATTCTTCCGCCTCCGCTGATGGTGCTTGCTTCGCTTTCCGCTTTTTGAGTGTCCTGGATATGATGCTCTGAACCCTTGAAAGAGTGAAACTCTAGCTCCCGGGTCTGGAATCTCTTCCGTGAGTAATTGATCGGCTGGTATAGGTGTTGGCTGTGTAGCACCTGTAAGAGTCAAAGCCTGTGCATTTGCTGTCGCACGCTTAAGATACTGGCCTGCCATCAGATGAGGCGCCATACCCGATAATCCAGTCAGGTTTGCTATCCCGGTTAAATCACCTTTGACCGCCTGTACTGTCAATGGTGAGAACACAATACTACTGGTAGTCGAGAGTGTATGCCGAGCTGACGATGCCAGCTCGGAGACATCGAACGCATGGACAAACTCCATGATACGGTGTTTTGGTTGTTGTAATCCTGACGACACAAGTGACGAAATGGATCTTCCTGTGGCAGAAATCCCCGATATGGTCTGTGAGAGAGCGGCATTTGCCCGAGAGGTTGTCAAGGCAGATCGGGAAACAGCCTGCTCTGAGGCTGCTGCCGAGGACGATGCCTCATGTGAAGTGCCTCCTGTTTGTCTATTCCGAGATGAAGGCCCCGTCGAAGCCATCATACCGAACCTTCCGCTGGCCTTGACTTACGTTTGGATTTTTAGAATTGATTAATCGGTTGAATCAGCAATCAGCAGAACAAGGTGGATCCAACGGATAAGCTATACACAATCAAGGAAGATGTTTTATCAGATATAGAGGACATACAAATATTTACACATTCAATATATCAATTATTGCCCTGTGCCATAACATACTTCAAGAAACAAAGTACACTGCAGAGATATGGACGAAAGATTATGAACAAAAGAATGCTTTCGCGGATCTGAATAGCTCCACAGTTGGTAATGATGAATGCAGTGGCAAGTTTAACTCAATTGATATGATCCACTTCTTCACACATGCATACACGCAGACATGGAAAGAGACGAATGAAGACTGTAAAAACTTCAGGATCTGTACAACACGCACGAGAAGTCGTACACTGGCTGGTGGAAGCAATGAAATGTAGCAAAAATGAGTAGGAAAATAAATAAGGTGGGATGCTTTCAAGATCTTGAGAAGACGAGTTGCTGAAATGGGATGAAACTAATGAAACAAGACGAAAGGAGAAGAGAATGTTGATCTAATAAATTGAATCTGATCAGGTCTTTGTCCTCCCTTCTCCTTTCTTTCCTACTTCATTTTCTCTTACCATTAATGTTTCTTGAAAGACTCCCCTGTCCCGCGCAGGATTCCCGCGGACCCAAGCCACTGGAGCATTCCTCGCGACCGATGACTCCAACAAGAAATCGGATATTCGAACCTCCTTCAGCTGCAACAGCATGAATAACTGAATAAAGCATCCAAAAAAAAAGATATGCGATCTCGATTGCACTATCGTGTGACCAAGTGGGGTCCGATAAACCATTCTGATCCAAAAAGTAAAAGCAGCTCAAGTACTGTGAAAAGTGGTAAGCGACATTGGGGATTGGCACACCTTGACGCTATCAATAGTTGCACAGCTTTTTATTTCAGCTTGGGCACATCGTCTGGGTATATCCGTCTTGCTTAGTTTTGTTGGTAATCTCGTTGACGATTGCTCGACGCAAACAACGCGAGTGACTGTTTCGTCTCATTGCGATTCTGCATTCAAACGTCATTTTTTTTTACACCTTTACCCTTTTTTCTTCCTTCTTCACTCTTCTTCACTCTTCTTCACTTTTTTTTGTTTCAACAATAAGAAAATAAAGCGACCCAATCATGCCTCTTATCACCAGTGATCAAGCAACTGAATCCGCCTTGAAGAAGGATGGTATCATCCCTGATCTTCTCGACTCGTTCCAACCCAAGACCATGCTTGTCATCAGCTACGGCGATGGTCTGGAGGTTGCGCTTGGCAACACCTTGCCTGTCAAAGGTACATTTCTTCTGAACTCCATATCCGTTTTTTTTTTTTTTTTTTTTGACGTCTGTAAATATCCTCTGACATTTTGAATTTATATTTTCAATACTTGACAGACACTCAGAATCCTCCCCAGATTTCCTTCCAAGTCGAGAATCCTGATGACAAGTACACATTGATCTTGGTATGGAAATTTCACGTCCTTCTTTTTTTTTCTCACGCTTGTTAAGAATCCTCTTCCAAAAACATAACGTTGGAGGGAGAATACGTATTGAAAATTAATTTCGTTGTTCAAGGCATCATTTTGTCTTGAGAGATTCTACTAACGAACTGTCTGTGTGTAAATTGATGTCATGGATTGAATGTGTAAGACGGATCCTGATGCGCCAAGCCGTGCGAATCCCAAGAATCGTGAGTTCCGTCACTGGACGGTCACAAACATCTCTGGTGCATCTGATTTCCAGCCTGCAGATGTCTCGCAGGGGAATGTTCTTACAGAGTATATGGGTCCAGCACCTCCAGCGGGCTCGGGACCACATCGTTACATCTTTTTACTGTTCAAGCAGACATCATCTAGCGATGCTTCAGCCCTGACAACCCCTCTGACTGATCGCCCAAAGTTTAACACCAAAGAATTCACATCCCAAGCAGGACTCGAGTTAGTCGGCGCCAATTATTACTTTGCAGAGAACCCTTGAAAGACAAGGAAAGAAACAAAAAGATAAAATTTCTTTTAACACTTCTTCTTTAGCTAATAAAAAAATTCAATGTTGAAGGCCAATTAATTTTTTTTTTTTTACAATTGTATTACAAGAGATCAAATAAATAATAGTATAGCTATGTGCTTTACAAGCTACATAGTAAGGAATAAGGAAAATATGAAATAGAAGCGATTGCAGTGAACTACTTTCTATTTAAAATACACTTCCACTGGCGGGACGAGTGGAGAAATAGAGGGCTAGACGGATGGTGAGAGTTGCGCCAATAAAGGTCAAACAGATGACAGTGAACGTCTTTACTTTTGTGAACTGGGGTAGATAGACCTTGGTCTGTCGCAATGCATGGTTGTCGACATAGAGATAGTAGGCATACAACGGGAACACCACACCATACGAGAACTGGAAGGCGGCAAGAGCATACATGCTACGAGGCCAGATTGTGACCAAAACATTACCAACTAAATGGAACACTGAGGCTGCTATCAAAATCAAGAGTTGATTAGGATTGTACCACTCAACGCCCCAGATGGATTTATCCTTGCTCAGGGTGCGTACTACAGGTCGTGTGCAGTCATTGGCATCTACGTTGGCGCTGTCGTCGCCTACAAGCACATGCACAGTCTCCCCATCAAAATGAGCCTGATGTTGTGAACGGGGTGTGCTCTCAGGACTACGATCTTTGGGTTGATGGCTCTGTGGAGGAGTAGGCGGCAGGGCTACAAATTTCTTCAAACCAGACTGAAGATAATCCAACGGGCTGTTGACGGCGACGGTCGCACTTGAAGGTCCCGCTGTATGGGCTATTCTATCACCAGCTTTTGGATGATGGATGGCAAGAGCATCGATACTACCACTGCGTTCTTGTTCTTGAGCGAGTCTTTCAACGACGCTTTGTGCTCTGGCGAGCTCTTCATCATGGAGATCACGATTTCCGAATGCTTCAAGCTGCTTCTTGGTAGAAATAAAGATGCGTACAAACATAATGACTAAACCAAAATCAGAGCATAGTCCTAAAATAATATTGAAAAAGAAAGTAGTTGTTGTTAGCAAACACGTACGGACGCCCTGTGTTAAAACATTCCAAGGCTTTTCCATGCTCTACCATTTTTTTTAATTTATTTTTTTTTTTGTTCAAAACGCTTACCCTGCCAGCGGAAAAAAATGGCGTCCTTGGGCCAGTCGAGATAGACACTAAACAAAATGACTAGGCAAACATAGACAAACAAATATAACCCAAAGGACACCTTGGTAACACGCCCTCCTTGAAGAAATGTAAGCAGCAGCGCCACTTCTAATAAATTGTGGAGTACACCGACAACAGCCCAGATCTTTCCGACATCAAAGAAAATGTATCCGACAACAGAAATCGTGGTGGCGTCGATGTAGTATTGAATAAGCTCGTTCACCTGAACCGACGATTCTTCATTACCGGTCGAAAGTGTCACGAATCCTGTCAGCGACCGGGAAGGTGACTTGGTCGCACGGTGAGATAGATACGATGCACCAACGGTGAAGAGTAACGCTGCCAGGACAAATGCATAATTCACCTCTTTGTCTTCGTCTAAAATGAAATAGAAAAAGAAAAAAGAGCAGTTGTGCGATGAGTAACAGAAACTTCGAAACTCCGTTGTGGGCGCAGTACAAATTAACTTTTTCGTTTGGTTCCAGACAAAAATTTATTTGTCACTGCCACATTTTTTTTTCCAACGTACTTGGAATTGTCCCGTGCCATGTAGGGAAACCAGTTAGTGGTGATCTACTCTGTTCTGGTGGATCGTTCATCTTTACACCAACGAAGGAGAAACCCTTGAGGAAAGAAAGAAAGAAACATGTATATTGAATGTAATGTTAGTATCTTCTCTTGTTGTATACTGTTGTCACTATTATGGCTGTAGAAAAAAAATAAAAAATAAAAGCACTTTTATTATTACCAAAGTAACGAGCGCTGCTAATGTAGCAGCAGCACGTAGTATGTCTCTCAAACCCATGTTCCTTGATGGATCGTGAATGAAAGGTATTTTACGTTGCGGAAAGTATCAGGAACTGTGGTGAAAAAAAACGTGGCGAGGATGTGATTCGAGGGGAGAGAAGTGAAAGGAAAAAAAAGTAAGAGTGAAAAAGGTTACTTTTTATACTTTTTATACCGAATTCTTTTTGATCCTCTAATCTAAAATACCGTCATAAATCTACGTACAACAAATGTCCAAAACAACAACCATTCCCGATTGTACTGCTCAAGTTACCGCCCCCACACTCAACTTCAGTACTAATCTGACATGAAATCTGTTACTGATACAGAGCTACTGACACAGAGTTATCCCGCCCAATGGATCTCTGGTTACTTTAAAATATGGCTGTGCAAAGCAATTGGGCAACCCAGCGACAGTTCAGTATTTACTAATAGAACCCCATTATCTCATAAGATTTTTACAGAAACAATGGAATGGGATGCAAAGGATCCAATACGATTTGTTTGACAGCATTGTATCCTCGCCAATTGATATGACTGATTCGTATCATATATATATAACTATACCCATGTTGTCTGAAATAACTCCTCGGAGGAAAATATGCACAAATAGACACAGTTTCTCAACTCTGTTTGTTGGTTTGTTACTTGGTTGCTAAACGCCACACACAAAAACCGTAAAAAAAAAAGTCGAGCACAGCAACAGGATCATTATTTGTCGCCACAGCGGGCTCAGAATTGTTCTTTTTATGAACGAGTTTTTCATTTCATCTTTCTCGCTACAGTATCCCTTGGCTGGCGCTTGATGCTTTATATAATGCATATTGTAATGCTGGGGTTTCAGACCTATTTAGCTGAAGAGCTTAAAAACCAGCATGCATATGGCCCTTCATGGTAGAATATAGGACAGAATATTCTTCTTTTCCTCATCGCTTTAAAACATGCCAACCAAGAAGAAATTTTCGAACTTCATTTTGGCAATCTAGAACATGAATATTATTAAATTCAGTTAGTCTAATAAATTCTTCCAGCCAGCGCACAAAAATGGTTTGATGCTATAAAGACTGGACCGGTCGAATTTAGAGTGATAGTTGTGAGTGCAATAAACCCTCTTATCTTTCCACAACAATCGCCGTTGTGAAGGAGTGTTTGACTGAAATAAAGATATGGTGTTGCATCCGTGTGTGCAAGCAAAATTGATTGGCTGTGTTTTAACCAGGATATATTAACAAGATCTATACGACTCCCTCTGACTAAATCTTACAGTACTACGTCCGTAAACCACATTGACATTAAAAAAGCTTCATTTGCAAAGTGTACTAGAGGATTACAAAGCATTATATAATCGGATCATTTGATTAACAGTAAGAATATAATATGCGTGTTTTAGTCCCTTTGACCTGTGAGAAATGAGGGTATTTAAGGGAAAGTGTCTGGAAGTAGAGCATGTCTGTTACTATCTGCTCTATTTATTGTTCATTTTAGGTAGTTAAGGTAGGAGGGAAACGAGAGTATCTAGCATGTGTAGAAGATTGAATGTACAAATGGATGAAAACTGGCAAACTTGGACTGGGAATCATTTAGTGCGCGAAATATAATAATAATAATAATAATAATAAACTTGCAAGATGCGATCATCATATTTTCCGCGCGACAGAATCGAGCTTCGCTGTTCAGCTAACCCACGTCTACACTATGCTTCTACACGTACACCCCAAAGATTTGTGTGTTCACGTCTGGTACCACTTCGAAACGTACGCGACCCTCATATCCACCTTTGATAGTCAGGAACTCGCCATCAATGCACAAACGACCCTGTGTAGGCGTCTCCATTTCAATCCTTTTTGCTTTGAAATACTCGACTTTTTCTTGCTCTATATGCTGACCTGTTGCTGTGGCTCCAAACATTTGAATAATCTCATCCCTGCCCACGTTCTGGAGTGCTAGCACATCCATCCATTCGTCTGAAGTATGTGCAAGCGGCGTAGGCGTGAATCCAGGCTCAAGCGAGGCTTGTTTTGTAATCAGCAGATATGTGAATGGCCCTGAAAGGGAGGCCGTAACATTATCGAGACCGTCATTTCGATTATCATCATTGTCAGTATTAATGGCGGTAACGAAAGATGCCGATGATCGATTATAGCTTTGCAGTGGGCCATAAAACATTAGCTGTCCTTCATACTGTTTCAGATTCTCTATATTTTTCATGGCTGCTTGACGGAACCGTTCATTACCCAAGTGCCGAAACTCTTCAGAGTCATACACTGTTGCGCAGTGCAATCCATAGCTATTCACCACAACGGTGTACACAGAAATTTCCCAAAGATTATTAGACGTCTTTGTTGACACGGACATGAGGCGTAATGGCGTTGTGTTTCCATTCAGAAAGCGATCCAATGCATCTTGAGGTCCATTGACGCCAAGACTCGTGGAGATAGCATTCCCTGTGCCTGTAGGGATGATTGAAAGCTCCACCTTGGGTCGGAACTCATTTGAGACAAAAGCGGTCCCTTCCACGCCTCGAAGGACACCATTTACGATCTCATGGACCGTCCCATCTCCACCAAGGACCATAATTTGTAGAGTGGCAGTACTTGGTCGAGTGATATTGCCCTCGTCATTGACTAAGCTGAGCGATTGAACAAGGTCTATGATAATACGTTTGATGTTGTTGGAAAAGTATGATTGAGTATATCCTTGCGCAACGCTCTCAATCAGAGTAAAAGGTTTCTGGGCCTTATTAAGTGCAGGCTGGACAATAGACTCCCAGACTTCACGGGCCTGTTTCGTGCCAGAGTTTGGGTTCAAAACGACCAAAAGCGGAAACTTGTCAGACATCGGAAGGATGCCCATGTTGATGAGGATGATAGAATTCAAATGAGGATGAGAATGGAAATGAGAATGAGTGAGGAAGTGAGAAGGAGAATGAATGACAGAGATAAACGATAAGAGCCGCTAGCTCACCTCAAATACTTTTTGCGCAACTATCGCGCCATCTATTGGGAGCGTCGTTTTTGTTACGTATTGGCAGGCTGTGCAAATAAGGGGATTGGTCATTTAAGGATTGGTGGCAAAAGAAGAGAGATGTCGGTGGAGAGTGTTGACAAATACTACTACGACTGCCAAGCTGAGTCATAACTATTTAAGACGAGACATGATCCTCTCTACTATTAACAGGCGTATTGCTTTCTGAAGCCGTTAAGGCCTTGTCAATTTCGACAACACCTCCTGTTTCTCCAAATTGCCGTTCCTTTCGGCCCAGTATGGTCCTTCCTCTTCTGGCAAGAAAGCACTGTGGAGCTCGTGTAGGGCTTTCGTACAATGTGTCGGGTGGATATTGTGAACTGAAGAAATCGTATCTTGCAGAGTATTGGCGGTAAGTGAATATGAACAGTACCTGTGGCCATGGCGAGGCTATTCAGCTGAGCATCATTATGAACATATGTAAAATGACCAGAATCATAAATTTTTTTTTAACAAGGACCCTCAGATGCCAGAAATATAAGATGTAACGAGAACGAAAGAAAGGTGTTTATTATGATCTGAAATCTTCATTGAATACGATAGTAAACCCCCATATGGAATGGCCTCCAAACGTAACATATTAGCCCTTTGTTCAAGCTCATACTCGTTGTCGCACTAAAACACGGCAGTTTGTCCACAAACATAGAATTCTATTGGATGTGAAATTTGTTACAAGAGTGAAACTTACTCTGTTCTGGAGGGCATCGTCTAATGCATCTCTTGCTCACCATGTCTCTTCTTGGGCAAGATCGGTCTAATGCAGTCGCCAAGGTCTTCTCATTACCCGAGATCTGCCAGCGCATCGCCCATGTTCTTGACCGCAGCACCATCGCTGCATGTTTACGTGTTAGTCGTGCATGCAATGCTGCATGGCTCCCCATCCTCTGGTATACAATCGATGCTGGCAAACATTGGCATCACCCAGCTTTCCGCAACTCGCTTAGCAAGCACAGTGGATTGATCCGTATCCTCAAGTGCTCTCGATACGATGACATCAGCCTGCTTTTCAACACTCAGAGCAACAAGGATACTCTCTGTGAGAACCTCCTCACCTTGGTTCTTCCCAAGACTACGCTCATCAACCAAAAAGACCATGTTCGGCTCCTTTTACAGAACCCTCAGTTGAGAGACCTCTCACTCACATTCCACGACGATCCTTCATCCCATTACTCTGCCCTTGTTGATGCAGTAGGAGAGCTGCGCTTCTTAAGAAGACTAGCTTTTGACGAGAATAAGACGCTTCAGGTTAGCACGCTCGAGACCATTCTAACTCAATGTAATAGCTCCTTACAAGAACTCTCCTTCAAGGGAACCCACGCCTACAAGCACCCCTTCGGATCTGGAGAAGAATTTGCATCAGGGCTTTTGCCAATCGCCAGCGCACCTGAACAGATTACAGATGGCATCAGGAATTTGTCCCAGGATACTGAGATCGAGATCAAGGGATCCTTCGGAATTCTCTCGTTATGTATGGACAATGTTGCTTGCACGCAAGATTTATTGCTCAATCTCGGTAGCCGTTTCCCATTACTCAATCGACTCTCCTTGAGAGAATCGGTGGAAGTATATTTTAGTCAGGATTTTCCTGAGCGACTGGCCAGACGGTGCCCCAAAATCAAATACTTAGATATTTCTTCGACAGAAGATATGGATGACGATACAATCGCTCGTCTGATCGCCTCTTTCCCGAACTTGCAGACTTTTCGAGCATCAGACACCCGATTTGGCGACAGAAGCCTTGTTGCTTTAATTGAAAATTGCAGAGATTTGACCGTGTTGGATATCGGCGCTGCATATGGAATCCAGGGTCATATGGTCCAACTGTTGTTTGAACGGTGTTGGAGCCTTCGGAGGTTGGATGCATGGAATGTCTCTGTCAATGTAGCAGATATGATAAAAGAAGCATACGGCGGAGTAAAAGGACCTTCGGCCATTGCTTCTGGTAGGCAGCATCTGGATACTAGTGTTAGTAACCATAATAGCCCCATTACTTTTAGGCAATGGGCATGCCACGGAATTGAGTCTTTGGCGATGCGCTTCGACTATGATGCTTGTGTCCTCACGGAAGATGAGCAACGGCTATTTCCACCCTCAAAAGCAAGAATATTTGTTTATGAACAGCTTTCTAAGCTTAGCAAATTGAAATACCTGGCCATCACAGGATCTCTTTTGGATGCTGAAGATCAGTATGAGAGTGGTTATACAAATGAGGGAGACGAAGAAGATGATACTAGTTTCGATGGTGGGTCGTCAGCAAACGTGGAAGAGCATCCTTCAGAATCTTCTACGTTAACAGCAATATCACGATCAACAGTTGTAATAGATGCACTCAACAATGGGTACTCGACCCTGGACCATGCGTTAGATGAGAGTAGCAACACTATTTGGATCGAATTCTCCCTGCGGTCAGGGCTCAGCTTACTATCACCACTCAAAGAATTGCACACATTGTGTATAAGTGCAATGGACCATTGTATTAAAGTCCCTGAGATCATGTGGATGAGCAAAAACTGGCCTAGTCTTGTATCCATTCAAGGTCTGCACGAAGAAGACGATGAGTTAGTCATAGAATGGCTTCGGGAACATCGCCCTGATATCAGTCTCGATGATGAAGAAATTGATTGATGGCGGCGATAGGAAAGTGATATTTAATGACAAATAAATAGAAGTGGAATGCTACTCCATACATGATCCATTTGTTTTACAACTTCATTCCCTACAAGTCTGAAACCTTGACAATCCCCTTGCCAAAGTTCTTTTCCTGGAAAATATCGACAAATGCTTCGGGCGCTCTTTCTAATTCAATACTCATATCTTCCTTGTATACGATTGAACCATCCAACAGCCACTGGGCATGCCTAATACACCAATATATGCCGATAGGCCCTGAAGAAGAAGAGATGGGCCATGAACAATCACAAAATCAGGCTGACTTCAATGATCACTACTGCATTCCCGTCTGTAGCTAGCAGAGCAAGATTCATCTATACTCGTTGAAATTGTTTTGAGACACCTATCTATCGTAACCGACTGGAAGCCCCTCTGGTTCGCCCATCATCATTATGTCTCCTACAATGTTTAAGCCACGGCCAATGCTGTTGACGTATCCCTGCTGCTGCTTGTATCAACTTGCTATCTATCGCGATGGACGCCAGATCACTCTCTTGCCTGTAGATTGCATATCGGGATCAAAAACAATGATTCGATTCCCTTCGCTTAAGTTCAGATTCCTTTCCATCTAGCGCACTTTTGATGCATAGGCTTAATACAAGAGGGAAATGCTGGTACCGTTTGAAATCACGATCAACCGCAAGCTCAGTGGTTAAGAATAAGATTTGCGCTGTGACCAAGGAGGTAAAAGCCCTGGCTGAGAATAGATAGTCTTGATAGGTACGTCAGCGTTTATAAGAATAACACTGCGCAACGTCGCCTTTGCATCTTGAAAAATGTCTTGTGCGAAGTAATCATATAAGGGACCTTTTAAGATATTAAAAAAATAAGGACGCAGAAATCAAAAATTACATAATCTAATGTTTGAAGGATTCCGACTCAAACAAAACTCAAGATCATTTCGTAGAGCAGAGAGGTGAGAAAGTGAGCAACGGTAGTAGGAACAAGAGCTGCTCGGGATATTTAAGCAGCTACAAGTGTAATTATCGTTTCTAAAACTAAAGATAATATTCAACGGCATCCAACGTCAGCAGACAATAATGACAGTAATGTGTATGAGGCAAAGGAATAGAAAGAAAGAGTTTGGATATAACATTAAGGTTCATCAATCAGGCCTGATTCCACGTTTTTCGATATCCGGTGGAACATGGCCTCTAGAACACCTTCCGTTGGGCTGGACCCTGTCTACCATTGGGTAGAAACGGATAGACCACGGCGCGATATTAAAACGTTCAGCACAGACATAAAATATTTATATGTTAATATATTATGTTTTGAATAAGACTCCCTTTTAAAAAGATTTAGAATCGGATCGGACAAACGCGTTTATACCACAATGCTGGGCCAATAATGGATAGAAAAAATTTTTCTGCATGGAAAAAACATGCCAATGCTTGGTTGTACAACACATGCATTGATGTCAGACATATAGAATCAATTCAAACCCCCTTCTCCCTTTGTCATTATCTTGATCTTCTTTTTTCCTTACAGAGGGGCAATAAACATGTTCTATTTGATTGGCATGTCGGAGAAGAAACAAATTCGATCATGATACGTATACACAGTCATGCCCTTTTCCCACTGATATAATCCATGGTCTTCCCATACCATAGAAGGAGGGATAGTGTTCATGTTAGCACAAATCTCAAACGCCTGTAAATTACTAGTTAATTATCGACTCAGGAAATGCGCAATTTAATTTGTTTGTTGATTCGGGAGTGTCGGGAGAAAAACAAAATAATAAGCGAAATAAGCGAAATAAGTGTAAACACATGCACAGATGTTAGGCTGGGCGATGCTTATCCCAGGCAGAAAAAGGCCGATCCTCCTTCTGAAGCTCTAACACGAGTCTAACTCAGGAGGTAGATCCTTAAATGCCTGCAAAAGCACTCATGTCACCGCCGTTACATCAGTTGGTAATTGTTTCGTGATTATAACCTTCAAATTGACTTGATGGAAACTTTCTTGTGCTTCCTTAAGTCCATGTTTATATCGTATGTGTTGTGCGCCTCTCGTAGTTGCTCATTGGTGCTTCTAAACTTCTTTGTCTAGGCGTGGAGTGAGCAAGAATAAGCGTCTGCTGCCACATAACTCCCTCTCCTTTAAAAGCAAAGGGTTGCTCTTTTCTTTTTCTTTTTTTTATCCTCATCAACTCACTGTGTTCTTCATCCACGGCTCCTCATTCTCCGCCCACCCCTTAGCTGCACAAAGCAACCCATTCCACCGAAACTCCCTCGGCCATCCCAGTGTCTCCGATAGAACCACTCCTCTACCTTCCTACCCCACGCCTCCTGAATCCTTCGCCCTCGCCCTCGCCCTCGCCCTTACTCCCTTCCAAAGGACCCTTTTCAACTTCAGCATCATCCCGTCCATCAAAAAACAAAACAAAAATGAAGTTCGCAGCTGCTCTTCTTTTGGTCATCTCCTATATCACCATAGTGTCTGCCCATATGGGAATGCTCTATCCTACTCCTCGTGGAGGCTATGGCACCAAGCAATTTAACGGTCGCATTCATGTAAAGTCTTAACTCCATCCAATTTGATTTCGGTATCCCTGCATTCCAACATTTTGTATTTCTAGAAACATACCGTAATTAGCAGTGAAATGAATGATTACCCACTCTATTTTTTGCTCTCTGATTACATACGTTTGTGGGCGCTCACAGAAATTTACCAACCATCCTCACATACGAACAACTATCAAGAGCACATTCACTCTGACATCCAATTTTTTTCTTCAACACAACAAATATTAGACCTTTATTGGCTTCAAGGATAACAAACACTCTATGCGATTCCCCTGCGGTGGGTATGCCCCTGGTCCAGTCACCGAAATGAGAGCTGGTCAGATCGTAAATGTGCGCTTCTATGCCTCTGATATGGACGCCAAAGAGCTTAGTAAGCAGCCCGCTCGTCCTTCCAACCCCCGTCGTCAGTTCGCTCAAGCCCGTCATGGTGGCGGAATGGTAAGCATGACATCGATGCTCTTAATGTGAAGCGTGCTTGTTTTTTCTTTATTTGGTCAGGAGTAGATTTTAGTTTATATTTGTGTATGAGAGCATTTTGATTACAAAAAGTGCTTGATTGTGGTCTCAAAAAATTATTGCTTGAATGGGCTATCTGGAAAGTTGTCTAAAAAGGATATGAGTAATCGGCCACGGTCATGGTCTAGTTTGGGATATTGAGTTCTAACGCTACTTCACTTACTGTCTCTCAATAGTGTGAATTCTCTCTTTCGTACGATAATGGAAAGACTTTCCATTTGATTGGGCGCTACACTAGGACCTGCCCCGATGGTAAGTTGAACTAATATCGGCAGTTTTTTGCTTGTCTTCTATGCCCTTTTAGTGTGAATTTGAAACTACGAGCCCAAACTAACCCTAACACCCGCATGGTTAAACATCCTTAGCTTATTACCAATGGCCTGTTAAGATTCCTAGCAATGTTCCTTCCTGCACCAAGCAGAACCAATGTTTGTTTGTCTGGTCGTAAGTATCTGTGGATAGATTAGATATAATCACTGAGGTGTGTTTCCCCCTTGTTCTTACACTCTTCCTAACTACTGCCTATCTATTACTAAATAATAATCGTAGATGGACCGCCAATATCTTGCCACAATATTACATGAACTGCGCCGACATTCGCCTCCGTGGCGCCACCAAGAATGCTCGCCTTCCAAGCAAATCCATCCAGATCGTTGACTTTAAGGGCTACAAACGTGGTGTCACTGAGCCTGGCGATGGCATCAAGCACAAGTCAAGCACTGGTCCTACCAGAAAAGAGATCAATGACAATATGAATGGCAGATATTAGATTATAAAATAATAGAGATAATAGGGTAGAGCTGGTCTTTGCACTTTTCATTTTTGTTACGATCCCTCCACATTTTCTACCATATCCTTCGCTATTACTTAATTCAGGTAATATGTGTTTGCGCATGGATGAAATAAATATAATAAAGAAATGTATAGTAGCCACCAAATCTTATTTGAATCCATGTAGGTTACTCGGCACTTATTTATTCTTTCTTTCCTCCCTCTAATAAAGTTTGATGCCTCCTGTAATTTCTCAATGTCATCATACTGCAACAATCCTCTTGCCTTAATCCTTGAAGATATTTCATTCGAAACAGAAATCGCTAACTCCATACATCGTATCACGCAAGATTGAACATCGACTGCGAATGAAGCACACTGATGGAAATTTGCATTGACAGAATCAAGTCAATTCGAAAGACACCAGGCAATAGAACTTCGTGTCTTTCCATATGATGATGATCCAATATCTTCATGTTCCTCGGTGGATTGGAGCACCTATAGATGTCATGCATTTGATATAGCCATGAGTCGAGTATACATCGCTTGACCTTAAGCTCATCGCTGTCCTCCTTACTTCGTGTCACCTCATTAAGAAGCGCAGCTTCTGTGATGTAAATCTGATGGCCTTCTCCAGTAACTGCAATCCCATCAGCCTTACTTGCAGGTTATTTCTCTTGGATGCTTGACCTCCAATTATCAACTTCTTAAAGCACTCGGTTTGGATTCCAAGCAAACCCAAGGCCCCGCTAATAAAACCCCAGGTAAAATACGACCAATCGTCTCTTTCATTAATTTTACATGAATTGACGATAGTGGTATTTCGGAAGGACTTTGCACTATAAAAAATAATACAATCAATCTCGGCTTAGACTTACTACGATCTCTCAATTGCTAGAAAATACCGAACAACCCGGTTGCTGGGTCCTGCTTGAATAAGAATCTTCATATGTCTTGACATTCTCTGTAAAAACGGCTTCAAGGACCTTCATGAAGCCTGGCTGACATATCCTGACATCCGCCACAAGCAGTCTGCTTCCCATTTCCGAAGTTTTTACATTTTCATACAAATAATTCTTGAGTGACCCTTTCGTAAATCTGTCCGTCGATATGCCTACAACGAAATAGTCCCCAAAAATGCATTCCTTCCCGGCTTCAGTCTTACAAAACTGTGAAAACAAGTTGACAAAATCATGCCCTCCCAAAGCTTGCTTTAGAGTTTTTATATACTCTCGATCTAAAAAAAAAAAAAAAAAAAAGAAAAAGAAAAAGAAAAAAGGAAAAGAAAATAACATTTTATAAATTCATTTTTACTATAATACATCTCATACTTCGTGCTTTTTGGGGGATCCCTCAGCTGAATCTCTTGATCATTATCGACTGCGCTTACTTGTCTCTTTTTCGTCCTAACACGGCTAGATTGTTGTTTAAACGTAGTAGCGGATTAAAAGTTGATGTCGATCTCTTCGCTAGCTCCTGTACTCAAATATCTTCAAATTCCTGAAGACTCTGTCGAAGCTTTTTCCTCAGCTTGCTTTTTAATCTTTTGTCTTCCGAAAGAAGTGCTATCACGCTTTGCGCCTTCTCTTCATTTGTTTAATGAAAATGAGCAAATGCGGGGATTGGAAAGTTCTTTGCGTTTGTGGCCCAAGCTACAAATGAATCCTATGTCCGAAGCTTTGGCTGACGCTTCTAACCGTTACCAGTCTGTTTCCTCGGCTAGCATCATTACGACGCCTCAGCTGCTTGAACTACGATGGTTCATGTACCCAAAATTTTTGGGTGCTCCCATGGGACAAAGGTGAACGCTGAGTCATCGGGTGGACCATCTGGGGAAGGCGAAGTCTGGCGACTTGGGCTCTTATCTTCTTCCAATCCCTCACGAGCGCATTTTTTGCCAGCAACCTTGCTGGTGGAAGAGGAAGCAACGTTGTTGGAGGAAGACACAATGCAGGCAAAGAGATGAGAAACTCGATGCTTGGTCGTCGAACCTGAAGCAAAAAAAAAAAAAAAAAAAAAATTGACGATTAAAATATACTATGTAAAAATTTACTCCATCTCGTTTGGTCAGTGACTCCTATATTCATCGCCCGCGACGCGACGAACTTGTAATAGGGGAGATACTTGACTCTCAATACATTCAAGGTTATTAAAAAATATAAGGATCACTGATCAAATGGGATAGACGATATATAATATATACTAATGGTTGTATATCAGAAAATATGCCTCATGGATACTCTATTTATGGTGCCCGTGGACAAAGTTGTAGTTATATTTTGATATAAATTTGAATAAATACCCTATGGACGTGATGTTCCCCAGCTGCTAGAATTTTTCAGCACTCTTTTTCTATGATAAACAGAAACCACGAGCATGTTTGGCTTTGAACACCACCATGAAAGTGAAGATTTACCTAACCCAAGTGGCTTTACTTTTACTTTTCTTGATAGTTGCGACCCACAATACCCCTTTTAATAACGAAGAGTCTAAGGCTTTTTGTCTACACACTCTTGCCCTAGATTACTTTTTTTTTTTTTTTTTTTTTTTTTTTTGATAGCAAGGGACATGGGATTTGTTATAAGGCTACAATCATGCCTCTCTAACTTTGATGTTTTATCAGAATTAGAGAAGCAGAATATTGTATTTTTTTTTTGATTTGAATGTAAGTCATATATTCCTATCAAACTATAACAATCTTTGTCTTCGTCGCATCATCGGCATCTCTCAGAAAATAGGCCGCTTCAAGAGATCCCTGTTGAGCTTCATAATGGCGAGAACGATTTGCTAGGGAGTCGTTTCATCGCTGATAATAGCTCCAAATCATGTAAGCGATGAGGACTACGAGGACGTTATGAAGCAAAACAAAGGGCGCGATACACAACAGTATTAAAGAAGCGGCAATCCATCTAATTATTTACAAGGAATTATCGGAGCCTTCCTGAGGATCCGAACCCAAAAAATAGAATCACTTTCTCTGTTGTGGCTGGTCATTAATAGTTATATAAATTAATTATAACTATTTTATTTTTACTTTGTATCTACTAATCGGGACATTCTGTCGATCCACAGTTAAAAAAACCTTTGTGCAAAGCCTTAAGCTATAGGTGAGTCCACCTCACCTAGAAAGCACCACAGTCAGGCCTGTAGGCTAAGTTATAAAAGCCAAAGAACTTCTTCCTCAATAAAGTCTTCAGTTTTCCCCATACGTCTTGTTCTTGCTATTATCTTTTCCCCTTTTCACAACAAGCATTTGCCGTCCAGGAACTCAGTTTGTGAGCTAACCTATAAAGCTCCCATCTTTCTCTTTCGGCATCCTATGGCGCTGTTTGTCGTCAAGGTTGTTTGTCTTTATTTTCTCTTGTTATTCTTGTTGACACTCTTTGTACTGTCCTTTCCTGATTTTGTGTCTATCTTTTTGCCCCTTAAGCAAAGATACACCTACAATTTACAACATCTCAATGCCATGTGATATGTTAAGCAGGCGTAACAAGTCACGTGATATTTACCTAAACAAATAACTTCATATTTCTTACATTTTCAGCGCCCGCTTAGCTCATTGGTAGAGCGTTTGCCTAGTAAGCAAAAGGTAGCAGGTTCGATCCCTGCAGTGGGCAGTATACCTTCAAAAAGAGGTATTTAACTTTTGTACCAGTCCCACATGTATGGCCCATGCAAATGGATGCAGTTATTTGTACGGCCCCCCTCTCCTCTTCACGGCGGCCTTCCTCTGCCTCCTCTCCCGCTTCGATCTCTTCTCATTCCCTTCTCTCTTTTTCTCCGCTTCTTCCTTCCTGTCCAATATTTAACTTAGGATTAATCTATGGATTAATCTATTTGGCAGCCCATTGCCAAATATAATCAACTTTCAAGACTCTCTTTGGCAGCCCAGTTGCCAAATAACATTCATTATTTACTTGGCAGCCTACCCAGGGCTATTTGGCCTCTAACTATTTATTTTTTTTTTTTTTTTTTTTTTTTTTTTTTTTTTCAAGTAGGTCGCTCATACAGTTTTGGAGGTGCCATTTGGAGATCAATGCCTATGAGAGGTTTTCGCTCGGAGCAAACGCGTCTCACCTGCTACCTAGACGTCTTCAATAAATCATTCCCTAACCGTGTACATTGAAGGCTGTTTTGCGAAGATGTCATCGCCGCTGCCCTTAGTACCTCCGGCGGCATTAGCTGTGCAAGGCAATGTATCCACAGAACGCTGCTTGTTTTACCACTGATGTTATGACCCTGTTTATCAAAAAAAAAAAAAAAAAAAAAAAAAAAGTAATGTATTTGGCAGCCCAGCTGCCACCCAAGAGTGCGAAATTAAGTGGCAGCCCCCAGAAGTAGGCTGCCAAATAGAGGCAAAAATTACAATATTTGGTATGGGCTGGCAAATATTATTGAATAAAGGGAAAATGCACCCCTGACAGAATAAAAAATTGACCCCCGGCTGAGAATTCCCAAAACCCCTCCGTCCCCCGTCAGAATTCCGAAGCACCCCCCGTAAAGATTCTCGAAAGGCAAATCTTAACCCCCCGTCAACATTTTGAGGCTGTTTTTTGGGTCTTATTTTCTGCTTTTGGTTGCATCTGTCTTTCTATTAAACTCAACGCTATTGAAGCCCTCTTACTTTTTATCTTATCATCAAAAACTTGACAGTAGAAAAATCAGCTAGACAGACACATGTTCCTTGATGAATGGCTCCCTCCCTAGTATTGTATTTATCTCTAGGCTCAGAACCTTCAGCAACTTTACATGCACCACACAAGTCCGATATAGTCATCGAAAAAAAAAAAGACTTTACACTATATAACACCACATGTCACACAATCCAAACTATCTTCGCAATCAATGACATTTATTGTCTTAAATACAGATTGGGACAATGGGCCTTTTACACTTACAGTGTGAGGGTACAGTTGGGCTTTTTTTTTTTTTTTTTTTTTTGAAAATAATAACCTCATAAAAGACAATAAACAGCTTTAATGCACAAATAGCTTAGGCCACTTTATCCATGATTTCATAAACCCTGATAGTCGTGATTGATACTTAAAGTCCATCTTTCCGACGTGGCTGTTGTCCGATGCGACAAGTCATCCGCTGTCCATAGTCATCAAAAACTTCATTCGACCTAACCGCTCGATCCTCTGCAATTTTGTAGATCTCTTTCACATTCAGTATCTACCCTTGTCTCAGGGAAGGGACAAGGAAATCATTACTACTTGAAATATAATAAGTAACGAGAGAGCGAAAGATGCCTTTGTTACTATTGCATATTTCGCAGTGTAACAGTTAAGACAAAAGATGATTTTATTATAATTATTAAAACAAGCCATTTTATAGGCTTTAGACTATATACTGTCACACGCAGTGTGCAATGATATGATGGCCAAGCAAGTTAAAAACTAGGGAAAAAAAACTAGCAATAGAGGTTAGTGACAATAGTGCATCATACACATTGACGCGATATATTATCTATGATAAGATGATAAGAGGATTTGGAACAGACCCATGTCATCTTAAAGATAGGAACGTAGTTACCCAGTGCATGCTCCTTTTACCAGAAAATAAATAAATTCCCTATAGATGTGATGCATGGATGAAATATGCCAGGATCTTAATAAGTAACGAGAACGAAAGAAAGATATGTTTATTATGATCCAGGACCTTCGTTAAATAAAAGGGTAAAAATATTAACTATATAAAAACCTATATAAATGATTGCTAGTCGCAACAACAGACACAATTGATATTAATGAACAAATGATTAAAGTCCTTGTATCGATCACTCAGTATATTATGGTACTCAACGTACACACCTTTTCGACATGGTCTGGTCCGCAAGATTGTCCGTTTTATTCAGGATAGTTTAAAATAAATATATTTGTATACTTTGCAATTGGATATTCATAGCAAAAAAAGGTGAATCAAGGATTCGATCCGTGTTGCGATTAGCAGTCATTTATATGGGTTTTTACTATAGCTAAGATTTTTACCCCTTTTTATTTAACGAAGATCCCAGGATCATAATAAACACATCTTTCTTTCTCGTTACTTATTATGATCCTGGCAGGATTAATCTATTTGGCAGCCCATACCAAATATAGTAATTTTTGCCTCTATTTGGCAGCCTACTTCTGGGGGCTGCCACTTAATTTCGCACTCTTGGGTGGCAGCTGGGCTGCCAAATACATTACTTTTTTTTTTTTTTTTTTTTTATAACAGTGTCATAACATCAGTAGTAAAACAGCCAGCGTTCTGTGGATACATTGCCTTGCACAGCTAATGCCGCTGGAGGTACTAAGGGCAGCGGCGATGACATCTTCGCAAAACAGCCTTCAATGTACACGGTTAGGGAATGATTTATTGAAGACGTCTAGGTAGCAGGTGAGACGCGTTTGCTCCGAGCGAAAACCTCTCATAGGCATTGATCTCCAAATGGCACCTCCAAAACTGTATGAGCGAACTACTTGAAAAAAAAAAGTCATTAGTTTTCTAAATAAGACAAGACAATGTCACCACACATGACTATGACGTAGAAGACGGGAGCTTTATTAATTTGAAGTATGAGCGTTATAAACATATACGGTTCCTAGGAATGAAAAAAAAAAAATAGTTAGAGGCCAAATAACGCTGGGTAGGCTGCCAAGTAAATAATGAATGTTATTTGGCAACTGGGCTGCCAAAGAGAGTCTTGAAAGTTGACTATATTTGGCAATTAGGCTGCCAAATAGATTAATCCAAAAATAAATGGGCCGACTGTGCCAACTCTCACCGCCGGCCGGGTGTCTCGTAAATCTGCTATTTACGTATCCTCTTCTTCATTATTTCCACCATCATTCAGTACTCTCTTTATCATTAATTCCTTTATCAATCTGTAGTATTTAAATCACTTTGGCTTCTTTGCAAAACAGCATCCCTCTTTTCACTTTTTGATGCTATTTTGCAGCATTCTCTAGGACTATCACTGTTGATTTATGATCCTTTAGTGATCTATTTATCAGATTATCCTCTTTTGGCACTTTGTCCACTTATGAAATTATCTTTTGGCACTTCGTCCAACTTTTTATCATTTTTTTTTGTCAATCTTTGGGATCATTGCCAGATCTTTCCACGTCAGGTGAGAGTTCGCCGAACGGCAGAACAGAAGGAAGCTGCCAAGCAAGCCATAAAGGAATGGGGATCAGCAGTGTTCCGAAGGGATTTCGAGCCAGTTAGGCCCTGGCTAAGGGAAACTTGTGTGATAACGGATGTGGCGATCAATAAGTTGGGCGAAAAGTTTGGCAATGTTGCGACTGCCGAATCAATAATGGATTTCAGCGGCTGGACTTTTTGTTTTCCCAAACATTTAAAGGAGCTCACCGACATTCTTGTCCAATTAAACAAGGATATTGATAATGAAGGTCGATCAAACCTGCCGCCGCAGCCCCAAAATAGGAACTCCCATGTTAATCAGACTGGTCCTGTTCGGAGAGTTCGGCAGGCCGCGAAGCCAACGATTTCATTTAAAAATATGACCTCTTTAGACTTTGCCACACCTAGGTGAGATGTTTCTGATTGTCAAGTCCAAGGCGGGAGCCTTTTATTAAGGACTCGCCATGACTGTCACAAAATACCCTGATCTTATTAATAAAAATGGAAGTGCCCCTACTTCCAAGCCTCGGAACGTAACACTAGGAACCCCTAGGCTCGTCACCAGCCTGTGTGGCTTATGTGCATTGCACTAACGCTCACTGACAGGCTGGGACCAAACTTGAGATTTTAGGGGGGGTCAACATTTTTTTTGAGATTTTTTCAAAGTCGCACAAACCGCAGAAAAAAAATTTTTTTTTGTGCTAGTCGTTCAGGTCGGAGGGAACAACTCTCATTTTTTTGTCAGTCGTTTATGAGCAGGGAAAGACTCTTTTTTTGTCAAAGTCATTTTTAGGCGGGGAAAGACCTGTCTCATAGATCATATTTCCTCATTTTCCTTCATTCCCCCGATCACTCCCTATACGCCGGGAAAATCGTTGGATACTTACAGATCTTTTCCAAGAGCACAACAACTTGCTTATCAAAAAGATACGAAAGGCAAACGGATCAACCTGGGATGAGAAACATGGATCAAGGTCTACCAATATTCACTCGCTCGGACAAATGGAAGACCAGATGGAGATTTCGTTTGGCGTTCCTTACTCAGGCACCAAACACACCACAAAGAAAGCGGTCCATGATATCAATGAGATACTCATATCCCTCAGACAGTATGATATTCTTGAGCCCTATAACAAAGATCAGCCTCCGAAATATCATTCACAAATTGCCAGCGCACATCCTGTAGCAGATCTCATCAATGGAGGTTATGAGAAGATGCAGGGGACAAAACACCTCCAATCGTTCATTGAAGCGAGAACCCGTTCGCATGGGGGACCGCACAAAAATATAAACGATGAGGCGATGGAGGTTGACGGAGACGATGCTGTGGGTATTGTTTGATTATGTTTTATAGTCCTCACGAAATTATAAATTATAAATTATAAATTATAAATTATAAATTATAAATAATATTGATGACCAAAATTTGTCCAAAGGTAAGTTAAAAAGTAGCTGAAAAGGGCGGTTTAGGTGGTCATGCGGAAATAGCGGAAAGGACATGATGTTTGGATAATTGTGATAGTCGATTCGGATGTTTGCTTAAACCAGATAAAGTTTATTTCCCACCGGAACAGTTCAAATTGAATATGATATTCCGTTTAAAACACTGCATCATGCAATCACTTAGTATAAGGAAAAATACAATGAATAGAAAGCAGATAAGCTAGGGTGTGAAGTCGTTCATTGTAGCCGACTTCCTAAAAAGCTGTGCTTTCAACGTCCGTTGACTGCTACCTACAAAGTCAAGTCGTCGTCAACATGGATGGTGGATTCACCACAGTTCGTACTTAACTTGCTGCCGCGCCGCTGAGACTTTGATGGTCGCAACCCAAGTAAGGACTTCGGCCGAGAATGTTGTAGGTCCGGAGATGAGCTACTATTCTCATGATGTCTATATTCTTAGAAACTGGCGAGTGTCGAGTGCTGGTGGGAACGATGTCGTACCCTCTCTCGAATATTGATTTGAGCCTTGAAAAAAGACGAACATTAGTTGATATTGAATTGGCCAATACATCCCAGGACATATTGCTTCCCTTCGCTGCATGGATGACTTTAATCAGCAGATTATTATGCTCCTGATACAAATCCGTTGGGATCCATGCATTCTCCTTGCCCTTCGTATTTATCAGCAATGAAGCTAAAACGGCCTTCCTCCGTTGTTCAGACCAGCCGTGGTGAATCCCATATGCCAAACGCAAGAGCTCCCTCGCATAATTCTTCATTCCTCCAGCTTGAAACATGACAGTTATTGTTTCCAACACATTTTTTATCCGCCCAACATCCCCGACCTTGATGGCAGTACCTAATTCAATATAAGCAAGAGTGTCTCTGAGGAACAGGACCGCGTTCGCGTTCGCATTGTTTTCCATGACGACTCGGCTTGCGTTGCGCAGGCACTTTTGGACTACAGCATTGACTCTCTCGAACATTTGGACTCGTCCGTTGCCCGATCTGCCATGGCTTTCCAACCCACACTCATAAGCCCTCATGTCGCTGATTTCCAGCCCAAACTCGACCTCCCATAATCGTCTGACCATTGCATCGAAAGTGTGCCTTATTAGCTCGTCTGCGGCGTGAAAATTTGATGTATCCATGCCTAGACGCTTGCGTTCCAGCATGGATATAATGAAACCCAGCGACCCTGGAGACGAAAAGGATCCATAATGAGTACGAAGGATTGTACCGCAGAGAACCATCTGGAGGTGAAAGAGCTGTATTACAGGAAGCGCCCATTGCATCCGACTGAAGCTTGTTGTATCGGCTGCACGTAATTCTTGCAAGGATGTTATTCTGGATATCGTAAGCTGATCCCCCGCAACTATGATTTTCGTATAGTCGTTGAACCACTCTTCAGGCAACTGAAGGACGTCTCTCATAGTTTTCTCAAGGACCTCAATGTTGCCCGATATAGTAGCCTGGTCAATTTTCAACGAACGCAACGGGTATGTCTTAGTTTCCTGGACTTCGAGGGGCCCACTGAAGGAATGCTGATCGGGGTACCGTAGGTAACGAAATGCCGCTGAAGTACATCAATCAAATGGAATTGTATGACATCTCTACGGCATTATCAGAACTATTAGTAAAATAATTAAATGAAATGCTATGTGCTTCACTCATGTTTTTGTGTCTGTTCCTCACCTAGCATACAATTGCTCGGGAAAAAAGGTGTTAATGGTAGGGGGGACGGTTACATCTTGGTCTGGGCCAATATCTTCACCAAGTACGATGGTTGAGGTGGTCCCATTGTCGAAGGAGTCCAAGTTATTACTGCGCTGGTCATATTTCCGATTAGCAATATTGATATTATCATACACTAGGAAAAAAGGGCGCTTCCTAACTTGTAGGCGGACTTCCTGGAGTGAATTCGTCGTTAGTGATTTAAGGGCTGTGCAGATCGTCATGTGCGACACTGATATACCAAACGCAGCGAGCAAATTTATCACACGCTTCGGACATCCCGAGGCATGCAAATGAAGCCCCATCATCATTTGCAAATAATTCGATTTCTGAGAACGGAGTTTCACCAGCATGCTAAGGATGGTGGCAGCAACTGCTGGTGCGTATTTAGTGTGCTTATCGTCGACACGCGTCAAGTTGTAAATGATCTTAAAGAGGAGGGGTGATACCAATTTTTTTTCAATTAAAGTTAATGAAAATTTCTGAACCACCGTGGGGGACAGGTTGTTGGCTGGGAGCCTCAGATCGTTGGTCCAAGTAAGCTGCTCGAGCTCGCTTTTTGCGCCTTCAACGACAATATCTGCTGCGGCCTTAGAGAGATAGTCATATCCATTGTAGGACCTTTTGGATTTCAATTGCAAGGCCCAGACCTTTACTATGGAGGCAGAGCCCTTGTTTTTGTAAAAGCTCTGGACACTTCTTTTGATGTCCTGATCATCCGAATTGAATATATCTAATAGAAGCTGTGCCAGTGATTTTTTGTTTGTTTTCATAACGGTAAATATCTCGAGTAGATAATCATCCTTTGGACGACAAATAAAAGAAGTTTCGTCGATAATAGCCAACTACTCCTGCTGCTCTGATGTAGCAGCTTTGGGAGTCACTGGAATTTCCGTTGCTGTGTGTTTTTTCCAGCGCTCCCCCTTTATGCTAAAGGTGAGATATGAGGAGATATATGAGAGACAGGCACGAGATTCAGGGATACTTTTATAATTGGATTTGGCGTTGGTAATAAGGTCTTTTAATTATAAATATAAAGATTAGTACACGAACTAGTGATAGTAAACCCTATCGAACGGCCGGCGTGCTTTACTGGGATCCATCGCGGGTTGCTTGTAAAGAGGCGGCGTGCAAGAAGTGAAGTAAGAGGTGGCCAAGAGAGGCAGCATCTACGATAGAGCACTTTTTTGTTCCAAGCCTCAGGAACAAAACAAAAACACAAAGGACTCTTTTTTATTTTTTTATTTTTACTAGTATTCAAAACCAAGTGTGGAAGCATCCTCGCCTTGAACTCAGGGACCAGAGTAGTAGTAATGAAGTGGAGCGAATAGAAGATACAAAAAAATATATATTATAGCAACATCAAAAATGTGTCTCTAGTGCATTCAACGCAACGTTGGCGGCTTTAGCGCTACAAAGTCATATCCGATGTGATCCTATTGCTGTCATTCATATTGTAATAATGATTTCAATTATTCGATATACATGTGGCATGTGTCCTCGTTCACTCAAAAATAGATGAAGCAGAGCAAGTATTTTGGACAGACGCAGCGAAAATGGCGCCAATGCTGAAAAGAATGAAAATGTATCGGGATGGTCTGTTCAAAGTCCTTAAGTTCGGCTGTAAGCTTTCGGCATCGAGGAAATCTGAGAACGCGTCGTCCGTGCAGATTGTCACTTTGACCCGAAAACCTTACCTATCCGCTTTATTGATTTATTTTACTCTTCATTTAATTCTCGTTCCTTCTGCCATTCATCTCATCTCAAAAAAACATTCATTCCTACCTCATCCTCTGTTATTTTGTAGGAATAATATTAAAACATGCATACGGCAACCGTGACGACAAACTTGGGTCACTATACTAAACCGATAAAATCCAAGGTGAATACAAAATCACCCGAATTCCAAGCCAACTACAAAGAAATGCTTGATCTCGTCCAGCAGTTGCAGGAGCGTCTTCATGAAGCCACCTTTCAGGGATCGGATAGGCTCCTAGCTTTGCACCATAAACGTGGTGGTCTCTTAGGTACTATCATGTTGTCTTCAAATATGAAATATAATAAAATGTGATGTTTCCCGTACTTGAGATTATCCAATTGATTAAAATGTTTGATTCTAATCCTAACATAAAGCCCGCGATCGTATTGAGCTTTTGCTCGACGACGATTCTCCATTTTTGGAGCTCTGTCCGCTTGCGGGATATGGACAAGATGGTATGACTGTCGGAGGATCCCAAGTGGCTGGAATTGGACTTGTCTGGTATGTGTATAGTGATTTTTGTGCCAACTCAAAAATCTTAGCGGACAGTCTCTTACTTTTTTTTATTAGTGGTGTGGAGTGCATGATCACTGCCAACATCCCCACGCTGCAAGGAGGAGCATGGAATGCTTCAACAATGGCGAGAGGGGCTCGTATCAGTGAAATTGCATGGATCAATCGGCTGCCGCATATCCAGCTTGTTCAATCGGTATTAATCGTTGATGCTTTGTTAATTATACTTTTAAAGATGGTGAAAGAAAGAAGATTAATTTCTTTTAATATATGCCATAGGCTGGAGCAAACCTTGCACAACAGAGTCGTGTTTTTCATCCAGGTGGAGCAGGATTTCGCCACCTAGCTGAGAGGTAAGAATGGTTGCATCTTTTTATTTCAAATGATTATACACTATATAGGCCTGAGAATACTAGTCACGACTCTGACATCTTCTATATACTATTGACAGATCTAAAGCTGGTTTGCCTTCGGTAGCGGTCGTTTTTGGAAGTTCGACTGCTGGTGGTGCCTACATCCCCGGAATGAGTGACTATGTAGTGATGGTCAAGGTATATAAGAAACATCACCTGGAATAGAATTCAACGGTCAACATAATCTAAGCCTCTAATATGCATAATCATATATCCGTTAAACACGACGTAGGGCAAGGCACAGGTGTTCTTAGGCGGTCCCCCTTTGGTCAAAATGGCGACAGGTGAAATAACGGATGCAGAGAGTTTGGGAGGAGCTGAAATGCATAGTCGCAAGTCTGGTGTGTCGGATCAGTTGGCAATGGATGAGTTCCACGCCATTTCCATGGCTCGAGAGTTTGTTTCAGGACTTAACTGGACCAAGCAAACTCAGCTCCCCATCCGGCATCTGAGAGGCCTTTTTGACCAACCCTTGTATGATCCAGATGAGATTCTTGGTATTGTTAGCGCCAATATCCGCATTCCTTTTGATGCTCTAGAGGTTATCATACGCCTTGTTGATGGCTCGCGTTTTACACAGTTCAAGCCCTTGTATGGACCCAACTTGATTTGCGGCTGGGCCACTATCCATGGTATCCCTGTTGGGATTCTCGCAAACAATAATGTCATATTTCCGCCAGAAGCAAACAAAGCAACGCAGTTTATTCAGCTTTGTAACATGCGGGATACCCCACTGCTTTATCTCCATAACATTACGGGATTTATGGTAGGAAAGAAATACGAAGAGGAGGGCATTATCAAAGCGGGCTCACGCTTTATCAACGCAGTATCTAATTCGCGAGTACCATGCATCACGGTTGTAATGGGTGCTAGTTACGGCGCAGGTAACTATGCCATGGCAGGGCGCGCCTACAACCCGCGCTTCCTCTTCTCGTGGCCCAACAGCAAATGCTCTGTCATGGGTGCTGAGCAGCTGACAGGCGTATTGGATATTGTAATGCGTGAATCTGCAAAAAAATCTGGCAAGGTTATTGATGAAGAAATGGCCAAGGCTTCCATGGAGATGTTCCAGACAATGGTCGAAAGTGAATCGGAGGTTTACTGGACTAGTTCTCGCTGCATCGATGATGGCGTCATTGACCCTCGTGAGACACGCACTATCCTAGGATTCTGTCTATCTGTCTGCTACAATGCTGAGGTGAAAGGAGGCAATCTATATGGGGTGTCGCGCATGTAGCTTATATCCAAATTGGGCGCTTGAAGGCCTATTTGAGTTTGCTGGAACTTCAGCATATGGCATTGTTTTTATTTGTGGCTACCTAGAGATCAATGTCGATAAACGTAACAAAATAAATTTTGTCACAAAGACCTTTATTGCATTTCTGTTCAACAAATGTTGACCATGATGTCTTGCTGTCAAATATCCGCATTCTATATCGCATAAAGCAATATAGTGTTTAATGATATGGATAAATATTACCGACTTTAGCACTGCTACTATAAGCTGACTACGGTAATGAGGACAAATGATGGAAAAGTAAATAATAAAATAACGTTGGTTAGGGTAACCTAAAATATCACCATGTATCCCGCCTTAACGCTCGGAAGGCAAGTGCGCGTGCATAGATCAAATCTTTTATCAGTCATGGAAGTCCATGTGAATTATGGCTCGGCAAGAAATGATGCGAAATAGGTGAATCCTTTTTTTTTTTTTTTTTTTTTTGGTAACAAGGACCCTGCAGGGTTGGCTCGACCCAGCCCTCTCTAATTTAAAGTGGCTGGAAACATGTCGGTTTCCTTCTTAGGTCACTTCAATCTAGAGGGGTTGGAAAATTTTTCGAGCGTTTTGAGATGGAATACTGCCCGTCATCAATTTTTAATTGTTGCAATCCTCACCCCTCAACATTTTAATCTGTGTTTTTTTTTTTTTTTTTTTTTTTTTGCCGGTTCTCGCTCCAAATCAAATGGTAGAGCTTCGTGACGCTGCCGTTTGTTAGTTAAATACTTATCAAATACAAGAAGTTTATTAAGCAATAGACGTATAATTGGCAAAGACCTCTCTAAAAGCAAGACCAGTATAAAGCTCAATAACGGGGCCACAAAGTCCTCAAATCATCATCCATGTGACTTTTTTCTGAAAAAAAAAAAAAAAAAAAAAAAAAAAAAAAAAAAAGAGGGGCGCGAGAATTTACAGCAATAAAAATGTCGGGGGGTCAAGATTTTCATTTTTGAGAATCTTGACGGGGGGATGTAACGGAATTCTGACGGGGGACGGGGGGTTCAGAATTCAGAATTCCGAATAGAGGGGTGCTTTGGAAATCCGAGAAAGGAAATAGTTGCATTTAGTTGAGTCTCATGCGTGCACTTAGAGATATACACGTGATCTAGCCAGGCCAGGTACAAAAACAAACAAATAAAAGTCCAAAAAAAAAGCCCTCACACTTCAACACAGTCGAACAGTCGCATTTCAGCAACACTAAAGCTTCTGAACCTCACCAAAAATATCTGTATCTAGGGCGCGCAACCAGACCACCTCCACATGGTGCGCCCTAGGCTGTCTACTTCGCGGCAGACAGGCGAAGAGTCTGGTGTAAAAAAGTAATAGGGCAACCCATTTATAGAGTCTATTTCCAATACCTCGTAGGTCCCAGTTATCAAAAAAAAAAAAAAAAAAAAAAAAAAAAAAAAACCAAAGATATCTGTATCTGATCTAACTTTAAGGTAAATATTTAAGAATAAAACTACTGCTTCTCACAGAAAAAGTCATTCTGACTTGTTCTAAGCATAACTCTTGACTTTATATCAAAATGCTAGCTTTCAAATATGGATAGTATCCAATTCGTTCCTGAACTTATTCCAGAGTATGCTGACCGACAACAGTTTGTTCTCAAGATCTTCCAAGCCCTGGCGATCCAAAAAATGTCATTGCGCGATTTTCTTACATTAGCATTCAACACAGAGAATTCGTTCGTGAAACAAAGAGTTGGTTTTTTTGAAGGGTAAAGGTGGTCCAGCAAAGATGGTGGAAATCTGGAAAGATAAAAAGACTGTCTTTGAAACGGAATCTTTTGTCCGATCTGTAGCTGCTGTCGTTGTGAACACGTTGAGAAAGAAATGGAACACATGTCTTCAAAAGGCTGTTTATATTGTCCCAAGAACGGACCTACTCCAGAATTTTCCGAAAACTTCTCCTTTGCTCTCATTAGCAATATTTTGGTGAAGAACGCGCCAATTCTGACATCAGTTTTGATGGGGTTTACTAGCAGCAATTTACGGGCGTCTCGACAAGAGCGAATCATAGTGCCATTTATTGCAAACATGTTGATGTTCCAGAAGAATCAGCAGGCAAATCAATCGCAGACGTTCTTAGGGTTTTTCTTCCGCGGAAGTGGATGCAGCAAAAGAGCCGTTAGGATGTTTTCATCCGCTTGTTTAAGTGTCTCTTATGACTCAACATCTAACACACTTCAGCGTTTGACCAAGATAGCCTTGGAAAACGTACGCAAGCAAGTCCTCGAGAAGCCATGGATGTTGGTTTACGATAATATCAACCTCGTAAACAGGAAGGAGAACCAGCGTAGGGACAATCATGATACTTTTGAGAGCGGCACTACGGCAACAATAATTATGGATGAGCACCTTGGCGATATTCCCCCAATGATTTATAATCAAACTCGTCCTCAAATATGGGAGTTCCTTCCTGCTAACCATCACAAAAAAGGCATGCATCGATTTCATATATCTGATGTCTTGCAGCGTTATTCGAACGAGTATGCTCAGCATGCGGTTCAAATACGCAAGATGGACGTTCTCAAGGCAACAAAGTCGATAACGATCCCATTGCCAACGATGAAGATTGACCAGTCCTCGACCGCGGGCAATATCGAGGTCATAGAGACGGTCTTTATGGGGATGCTTAAGCTACAAAAGCCGTGGTTTGAAGGCAGGTCGATCATTATTGGAGGTGACCTGCTAACCATTGCGCGTGTAGTCTCCGCCAACAGTGACGTATAACGGATGTCACCAGGTTCGATCGTTTAGAATGGGCAATCCCAGTGATGCAACTCTTTCATCTTCAGATGAATCTCGCGGTCACGATTTTCAAGACGCATTATGGTTCTAACTCCACAGGAGGCTCGTTGGCAAACTTTGTTTCTCTTTTAAAACTGAAGCGCTTGAATTTTAACTCTCAGGATCATCGTACCTTGAATGAGTTCCTTTGCCTTATGTTTGATGCAGTAGTCAGAGCATTATGGATGAAGCATTTCGATGCCAAACAGGACTTTTCTGAAGGCAAGAAGATCTTTATAGAAGAGGACATACTTGTAACTGAGGAGATCTCGAGCGGAGCGCAGGAGGAACTTAAGGCGAGCCAAACTGCGTTCAAGGAGATAAGCGAGCAGGAGAGACGTAGAGCGAGTGAGCGTCGGTTTAGGGAAAGAACTGTGCAAGAGATAGATGCCCTTGTTCGATCTGGGCTAGATTATATTTGTGAACAAACTATGGCAAGTGCAGCGAAGGTCTCAAAAAGGTATTGGGTTGGGGCTACGAATATGTTCTTGTTCATTAGAGACATGGTGTTGTATCTCGAGTTGCGTGCAGCCATCAAAGGAGGGGATATTGGACGCATCGAAGAGGTGCTGTATTCAATCACCATCATGTTCCAAGCGAATGGTAGAAAGAATTATGGGAATGAGCTTCTGAAACTGGCCTACGGAATTCGGTGTCTTTGGTCGCCTGAGCTTAAGAAGGCTATTATGCGTTCGTGGCTGATTAATACCTCTGGTAGAGATGATGGGTGGGTCCCAGCTGACATGTTTCAGGAACATTCTAACCTTCTGATTAAATCAGTCCATGCAGCTAAAGGCAGTAATATGAGCTGGGAGTATCTTGCGCATTCAATCTCAAGGAACATACACCTGTTTTCCAAGGTTGATTCGAAGATTGATTCCGAGTTCAATTTGTCTTTCAACAGCCAGGCTGATTTTGAAGTATCCAAGGAAGGCGACATTCAAACCGTCATATCTGAACTTCAGCATTTGGCATTCTTGAACATGAACCGCCTCATGGTATGATTCCAAATACAAAGCCTGTCAGGGATCTCTATGCAGAGGGACTCCAAAAGTTGGTCCAAGGGGGTGTTAGCAGACTTCATGACAATAACCCCGAGGCAGATGAGCATGGTGACAATCTAGAGAACATATAAGTTCGATGTGCTAGACGAAGAGCATTCATTCCGTTCAACACGAAAGCTGTCAGTTCGTATTTGTAATCTTGTACATTCCTTCCATTGTAGCTCAGTGTATCACGTTTTATCACCGTTGTGTATAATTTAATAAAGACTTGCTTTTCTAATTTGCCGATATTAGACGCCATTACTGGTGAATATATTTCGCCATTTTTCTTTATTCATGAACTGAGATTTGTACAGATGACAACAGCGATCGCACTAGTTATGATCGTGGTGGTCATGGTAGTAGATAGGTCAACAGAAATAGATGGAGTATCTCGTCTCCTCAATTAGATATCGCACATGCCCGCCAGCACGTCTGCCTTGTTTCGAGTCAGCAGCAGGGGCCTAAAGTCGCATCCAATGTGATATAATTATACTAAAATTAATTCACTTTCAGACAAGAGATCGTTGCTGGAATAGCATCGCCCGAATGAGAACTTTTGCCATAGCGGCGGCAAAACAAGCGGTCTACCCTCATAGAATGATGGAGATTTCTGCGACACCTTCACATTCCCATTAACCTTTCTTTTTTTATTTCCCATACACTTTTTCAATATCGCCTCGTCTCTCCATCAGTGAGTACAGATGATTACTACATGCTTTATGACAGTAAGAGTGCTGAATTGTATCCGAAGCCAATAACCGATGGACGATTTTTGATCTCTCACATAGTGCATCTTCGTCTCACTCCTCCGTCATCATTCCTTGGTTGCAGGCTCCATCAATCCTCCATCACATAATAGCTTTTTCATGCCTGGGCTTAAGTATTCGTTTTTTATCCATCCAGTTCCATCACCTGTAATATATTAGCGCAGAGATATAAATTTATAGCGACTTTTATTCTGATAAATCATTAGGACAATCTAAATCAAAGTGTTCGATGACCCGTTTCTTCGTTGGTGAGGATGTAACATTGTTCTCAAAATGTCTCTTCATTTGTCCAAGGCTCTTTCCATGATTGTCTGTATTAGATGTCGATGGCACACTTGATGTTGATGGCACACTTGATGTTGATGGCACACTTGATGTTGATGGTACACTTGGTGTCGATGGCAAATCAGCTATTGTACGTCCTATTGCGGAATTTACTGATGATTGAAATCTTTTGAGGTTGAAACATTGGGATCTTAGTTTTAGACTTCGGCCTTTCTTCTCCTGAAATATTTACAAATAGAAGATATAATAAGTTAAGTATTCATGACTGGCCAGGCCTTCCAAATTTACTGTGACATAATTCCAGTTATCAAGTCTCATTATAAGATGGCTTGTGTGTCTAATCAATCCATAAACCTCACTTACAACGTAATTCCAGAGAACCGCCAGGGCCTTGCCACCATCATTGAGAAATTCTAACATTTCACCTTCATTTGCTGGGATGAAGATGAGCTGGTATGTTACTTCGCCGCAAGCATGGATGTCGTCAATGCATACAATCTTGTACATTTTTGCAATGTTCCCTATGTTCCATAATTTCAATATTGTTAATGCCGTACAAATATATCAGACAGCATTTATTTTCTAGCTTACCATTTACATCGGCCAAAAGGATGTCCGGGTCTTTGATGCCGATTGCCTTATGCGCTTCTTGAATGCAGCGGCCTAGACGGATATTCTTTCTGCTTTGGGCAGCCATTTTGCCTTTGTTTTGGTCGGCATTCTTAAACTCAATATTGTTTGTCTCAACCCCGGCTACATGTACCATGCAATCAACTCGACGACCAAATGCTGCAACATTTCTAAATTCTTTGTTCTGTAATTGTCGGAGTGATTTTGATTATTCCAGTACCTTTTCTCCTCTAGTAACGCAACGAGGCATAAACAATTCAATATAATGTGGTGCTTGTAGTCAATCCTCATCATATTGATATTAACTTACGCATGAAAAGTGGCATCCTCCTTAATTCTATATAAAAGTCCAAGCCAAATATTCATCCAGTCCTGCTCACTTGGAGTCTCTGAGCCAAATGGTGGATGGAGAATACTCTCGCACCTAAATAGTAGATCAGAGATAGTTGTGTTTACAGCCAGCACTAATTAATGAATTATTCCGAATAACAGAATTCCTACTAAGCCACATCTAGCCCTTAATCTCAAATGCAGCCGGTATATAGAAATATATTTTTTATTATTTGCTAAAACCTGTCGTAGAGCATCTACTAGTGATCTCTGGAAACTAGTAGGTAATGATGAAAAATGAAGAATTGGGCAAGAGCCTCGTGGTTTTGGGATACGATAGTGATCCTAAGTAATGCTTTGAATGATTTTGAGGATGCTGCAAAAGGGCATCGATAATAAGAAGAGAGATCTTTAATAACTGCTAATTTTCTGAGAATTCATAATGAGAATAATGAAGATAAACTCACCTGCAAAAGGGCATCGATAATAAGAAGAGAGATGCCGTTTTTGCAGTGAAGGAAAAAGCTACTTAAATACTATTTAAAAATGGTAGAAAATAGGATGATAGGAAATAAATAAATTGAAAGGAAATACATATTTAGGTAAATGAATAGGCGTCATTTACGACAAACCTTAAGGTCGCCATTGTAGTATAATGGTTAGTATATCTCGTTGTGGCCGAGACGATCCTGGTTCGATTCCAGGCAATGGCATTAGGGCATCTTTTTTGGAAAAAGATATGGATTAATCTATTTGGCAGCCTAGTTGCTAAATATTATTTGGCAGCCCATTGCCAAATATAATCAACTTTCAAGACTCTCTTTGGCAGCCCAGTTGCCAAATAACATTCATTATTTACTTGGCAGCCTACCCAGGGCTATTTGGCCTCTAACTATTTATTTTTTTTTTTTTTTTTTTTTTTTTTTTTTTTTTTCAAGTAGGTCGCTCATACAGTTTTGGAGGTGCCATTTGGAGATCAATGCCTATGAGAGGTTTTCGCTCGGAGCAAACGCGTCTCACCTGCTACCTAGACGTCTTCAATAAATCATTCCCTAACCGTGTACATTGAAGGCTGTTTTGTGAAGATGTCATCGCCGCTGCCCTTAGTACCTCCGGCGGCATTAGCTGTGCAAGGCAATGTATCCACAGAACGCTGCCTGTTTTACCACTGATGTTATGACACTGTTATAAAAAAAAAAAAAAAAAAAAAAGTAATGTATTTGGCAGCCCAGCTGCCACCCAAGAGTGCGAAGTTAAGTGGCAGCCCCCAGAAGTAGGCTGCCAAATAGAGGCAAAAATTACTATATTTGGTATGGGCTGCCAAATAATGTTTGGCAACTGGGCTGCCAAATAGATTAATCCAAAAGATATTTATTTGGCAGCCTATTTTTTGGGGGGGATTAATCTAGAAAAAAGATATTTGCACGGGCCCGTACACCTCTTATTTGCACGGGGGCCGTACAAATATTTAAAAAATCTATTTGCACT